GAAGCTTACTGCTGATCCGTCGACGACGTTTCGTTAGAATATATATAACGACAAGGACAAGGGCACGAACAAGAACACAGGCAACTATCGGAAAGGGGACGTTTTGTTTAAAACTCGCTTACTGGCTACGGTCTGCAGTCCGTTCTCTGAGGTTGATATTGAAGGGCTGTTGACACGGCACTTTTACTGAGGAATGCGAAGTACATTTTACCAAGGTACGTATTATTTACATAAGGTATATTAAGGTACCGACGCCTTGTCAGGTACAGTGGGTGAGCAATAATTTCGGTATATTTCAAAGATCCAGTGATTCGTTACTTTTGCAAGATAACATGGTTTTGCCTTGATACCTAGAAAAGTGTTCCCCAAAAGCTTCGAATCATTCTACTTTGGGTTGTCCCGAAACTTTTGCTCACTTACTGGTACCTACCTTCTTTCTTAAGGTACGGCCAAGCTTCTTCTGCCTTATGGTCGGGGTCGCCTTTATTAGGGTGAAAGGGAGTGGCCGGTCTGTGCTTGGACCAGTGCCGATACCTGGGGTTCTAGGCCGCTGTGTCACGGCCCACTAAAGACGCCCGAGCCCTCAGCCCCCACGAAAAATCGACAGCGTCCGGTCACTTAGCCTAGGGGCGAACCGGTGTATCCGTACCAGCGCATGGCAACAATACAACGGGAAAAAGGGAAGGGACATTATACTTGTGGTTACTAATAAAAGTACTTGCAGTTGCCAGTTGCCCGTCGTCCTAGTTCTCCATCCTAGGACCTAGCCATCCCGGTTATCGTCGACAAACCCTCCCAACGCAACCCTTCCCCCCCACCCTCTTTTCTCTCGTCGTCCTTTCGCGAGACTCGTCTGCTGCCCGAGGTAAGCAGACAATTTACCCTCACATCCCTCAATTATGACCCGAAAGACTGTGAGTAATTTCCCTGTCTCAATAACCCCTCCCTTGCCACTGTTCTCTCTCTCCTCGTCCCTTTATTTATTCGCGGCTCCGTCGCTCTCGCGAAGGTCCGACGCTTGAGGCTGACCATCTCTGCGTCTCGCACAGCAGGAATCTGCTCGAGTGCTTCCATATTACAACAACATGTCCATTTCGCACTCCAGCTCGCGAGATAACACCACCACCACCGCCGCCGCCGCCGCCACTACTACCCACGGCAACGCCCGTGGCTTTCGACAACCCAATGGTCCCCACGGCACTTATAGCAGCAGTGTAAATACCATGACCTCTGCATCTATTTCAACGCCCGATACCTCTGCAAACAGCCTCAGCGGACAAACCGGCTCCAGTGTTCTCATTCCTGATTCCCAGGCCGACACGCTGCCTAATTATTCCGAGACTGGACGACCTGCCTCATTCCACGACAATAGCAACATCAGCACCATCGGTCACGGTTATGCGACCATGCGTCCTAGTACCTACTTGGGAGCGCTCGAGGATGAGGAGAACGGCGCGTTTAACATGGGCTACGGCCGGCGATTGTCCAGGCAGCATGCGAACCGTCTTTCGCAAGAGTCGACGTTCCTGAGCATGGGCGCGAGCAGTGGCCATGCGCCGACCTCACAAGATAGTGGCCACCCTCCGTCGCGCCATTCCGACGGTTCTCACCACCGCAGTCTCTCCCGCCACTCCCCCACCGGGGATCCAGACAGCTTTGGTTACGGCCCCGGTCACATCCCCAGCCACTCTACCGGGTCAAGGCGCCTCTCTGTCCCTACGGAATCAGCCACTCAAACAAACATCAACAACAGCAGTACGTATATTTGGAATTCCAACATATCGGGGGACTTGGGCATGTCGCCTTTGTTTGGAGGACGCACGATGAACATCCAAGTCAACCACGATCGCTCGTTCGCCGAGTCGGGCAGGGGATTGAATCGACTCGAGAACCAGAACCTGTTTTCGGGTGTATCGTCCGCCACTCAACACTTGAACGATACACGGCTCTCAAGAGACCACGTCAACTCATCCTCCTCCGCTATGGGACCCGGTAGCAGCACATCCTCGAGGCCATTCCCGCGGGCGAACGATTTCAGCGCGTCCTTCACCCCGAACTCCCGAGCCTCGCCAAACTTGGTCAACGGTTGGGCCGCCGCAAACGCCTCCCGGGGCCCCAGGGTAGGGTCTGAAACCGATTGGCGGAATCCTGTGCCGCCCTTCTCTCAGCCTTTGCAGACCCAACATCCGCAGACCCAGCATGCGCAGATCCCCACGAACTACGTCCTCTCATCTTTGTACGGCCTCAACGGCGCCTCCAACCAGTTCCCACTCTCCCCGTACAATTCTTTTGATTTACCTGGTACCGTTCTGCCGACTTGGGGTTCACAGATCAACCCCGGTGCCATTCCTCCTCCGCAACAGGCCATGGACCAAAAGCCGTGCAGTGCTCGGCTGGCGGAATTCACGTCGAAGCGCAACAAGGGGCAATGTCATTGGGGGTTGAAAGAGATCTATGGTCACGTGGTCGAGTTCTGCGGCGATCAACACGCCTCCCGGTTCCTCCAGAAGAAGCTCGCAGACGCGAACAGCGAAGAGAAGGACCAGGTCTTCCGGGAGGTCCAACCCAACATCGAGCCGCTGTCGAAGGACATATATGGCAACTACGTCATTCAGATGCTCTTGGTGCATGGCAGCCAGATGCAAAAGAGAGCCATAGCGAGCATACTGAAGGGCAAGATGGTCGAATGGTCCTTCAATAAGTACGCCTGTCGAGTGGTCCAGAAGGTTCGTTACGCCCCCCCCTCCCGCCTCCTGCTTTTCTTTTTCTCCCTTTCTCCCCTTTCTCCCCTTTCCCCTTCTTGCTTAGATGAAATGACTAACCCATACATTTTTCTGCACTCACAGGCTTTGGAACAGATACTCGTTGAACAAAGAGCCGAATTGACTCAAGAGCTCGAGCCAAATATCTTGCCTCTGATTCGGGACGAATTTGGCAACCATGTGGTCCAGCAAGTGATCCAGTATGTACCGAATCAGCACTTCGGTTTCATTCCCCGGGCGGTCCGCTCCATGGTGAGGCAGCTCTCGGAGGAGAGGCATGCTTGCCGGGTCATTCAGCGCCTACTCGAATATGCCAAAGCAGAGGACAAGGAGGCCATCCTCGCCGAGATTCACGACGCGGTCCAGCATCTCGTCTCCAACGAATATGGCAACTACGTAGCTCAACACGTTGTCAGGTACGGCAAGCCGGCGGACCGAGAAAAGATCATCTCATTCGTGCTGGGCCGGCTCGTTGCTTTGTCCAAGCACAAGTACGCATCCAACGTGGTCGAAAAGTGCATCGAGTTTGGTGCAGCTGAGGACCGGGTCAAAATTGCCCAGGCGTTTCTCAAACACGGTAGCGATGGCACGAATGCTGTTCCGGCCCTGTACAAGGATAACTTTGGCAACTACGTCATCCAAAAGTTGCTGAAGAAGTTCGAGGATGGCCCTGAGCTCGACGGCCTCATTGCGGCCGTGGAGTCCATTTCCGACCTGAAAAAACATCTGGATGCGGTACGTGATCCCGAACGCCAAGGCAACACCGCGGCCGCCGACCGTGTCCTTGAAGCCATCGCCAAGGCCCGGGGCGGTTCGAAGAAGGCGGCCAAGAACGGGCACAGGACTACGACTACTCCGACATTCCGCAATTCGCGGGCTGCCCAGGTGGACACCTCCGCATCGCCCACGCCTGTCTTGACGATGGAGCCCAACAGCCCGCAGAGCAGCAATCCTCCTAGTACCAACGCGAGCGCCACCGGCGAGTCTGCCGAGGAGGAGGTCGAGCAAGACAAGAACGGGCGGTTTGCGTCTGGGAATGTTGCCCCTCAAGTTCTGGAGGAGCCTTGAAGTGGACGGACGCAGGCTATGAATAACCTGACCGAATCGATGCCCTCTGATTTCCACAACCTGAGGGCGGTGGGGCTGGATCATTCACAGCACGGCGCCAGCCTCCCTTACTTCTTACCGCAATCGAGCTTTTTTTCATGCGTAAGATATTCAACTCACATACACGGAGACGACAGACACACGACATGATCCTTTGGGTCGTAGATTTACACGTCCGGAATCGAGGCAGTCGGGTTGCTGCCAGGCTGCATGATCATGTACGACTGGGAATCAAGGACATAGCTGTCGTGCAAGTCCATATGGAGTCGGGGAGTTTCCCACAAGGCCTTTTTTCCTCGGTTCTTATCTTGCCTTTTTCTTTTTTTTTTCTGCCACCTATTTTCTCACCCAGCGAAAATGAACATACACATACTCGCGTCGACATGTTTATAATCCTCTTTCTATTCACAGTGCCCTATCGAGGGCCCTTTTTTCTTCTTCTTTTATTTTCTCTCGCTCTCTCTCTCTCTCTCTTGATCTTTTTCTTTTTTTTCTTCTTCTCCTTTCGGCTGCCTGTGTGCTCGAATATGAAAGGGCCAGGACCTGATGTCTTTGGTTTGTTTGCAAGATCAGTGGGAGCGTCTGGCACGGGCGGTACGGGGGGTAACATAATGGGGGATTATTCCGGTCAGACCATTCGAAGGGTTGGGGGCTGCTACAAAAAAGTTCAACGCTTGGAAACACAAACGAGAACGGGCAAAACAACAAGCGTATTATACTCGGCAGAGCGTTTAGAACGTCATCGGGTTCATAATTCATGGTCGGATTTTAAAGGTGTCTGGATGGGAAAGGGGGGGGGGGGGGTTTCCCTTTGTTTTTGTCTTTTCACGATTGTTCTGGAGGGATTCCAAGGTTCGAGCGGTTTTAATGTTAGTCGGTCGGTTCAGCTGCAATGGCACAGCGTATTACGGTTGGAAACTCGGTGTTCGGTGTCGTGATGACCTTCTGAAAGCCCCCCTTGCTTCGAGATGGCGCCCAAGATGGAAAAAAGAAGGAAAAGAAAAGAGAGAAAACTCGTGTTTGATGCTACAATTCATTACAAAAGCGTAAAAAGGTGTTATGTACACTCGACCGTATTTGTTTCGGTTTCTTTCCCCTCCGCATATCACGAGAGCGGTGATGGTATGAGAGCCACTTTTGCTCTCTCTTTCTCTCTACCTATCCCCTCTTTCCCGTCCTCTCACCAGTCATCTGTTTTTCGTCTCCCATTCGTCCTCTGATCTTCTGTCGCTAGCCACAAGATCGGTATCAATGTAGCCCAAGAACTTGGCGGAGGTGCACCCTTCCGAGACTTTCAACACAATGCCCAAGGTCGACGCAGGGTATAACGGCGGAGGACGATGTGTGAAGGAGGATGAGCTTGATATGTGCGTCTGGAGGATGCAGTCAGGTCAGATATATGCATTACGCTGCAGGAGTCGCGCTTCCACTGGCTTGGCGCTGGGGAGGCGGTGTTGCCTGAGCTGGATTTTGAGCTTGGGCTTGGGCTTGAGCTTGGGCCTGGGTTTGCACTGGAGCCTGTGTTGGGGTCGGCGTTGGGACCTGTGCTGGAGCCGGTGTGGGAGCAGATGGTGGAGCCTGAGCTTGAGGCAACGGTTGAGGTTGCGCCTGCGATTGAGCCTGGGGTTGTGGCTGGGGTGGTAGTTGAGGTTTCGGCTGAGGTTGCATCTGAGGCTGGCCCTGACTCTGACCCTGAGACTGACCCTGTGGTTGCACCCGAGGTTGTCCCTGCGACTGTGATTGAGGCTGTCCCTGAGCCTGTGGCTGCGATTGTCCCCGAGGTTGCCCCTGAGGCTGTCCTTGAGGCTGACCTTGAGGTTTTCCTTGAACCTGTCCTGGAGCTTGTCCTGGAGTTTGTGTCCGCCCTTGCACGAAAGTCTGCGCTTGAGCTTGAGGCTGGACCTGAGGTTGGGGCTGAGACGGAGCTCGAGGAGGCTGGGGATAGAGCTGGGGTTGTTGCTGCTGTTGCGGGACGGGCGAAGATTGCTGCGACGCTGCACGTTGCTGCTGACCTTGCTGCGCTTGGTGCTGTTGCGGATGTGGCTGTGGCTGGCGGAGGTGCTGCGTAGGTGTCTGCTGCCGAGGTTGCGGAGACCGATGCTGCTGTTGCGGCGTTGGCTGTTGCCCTGGCTGAACTTGCTGCCCCAGTTGAGCGGCGGCAGCCACTTGGGCCGCCTGCTGCTGCTGTTGCTGCTGTCTGAGGAGAGCGGCATATTGGTGAGGACTTGGTGTGGCGGTGATACCGTTTGTCATGCCTGGTGATGCGACCCCAGGGCTCCCGCCACCTGCCGCGGCGTTCATGGCCGATTGGGACATGCTAGTCATGTTATGCCGATGCATCAGATACCGCGTCACATGTTCCTGGGCCAGTCGATGAGCCTGCTCGGGGGACAACTGCGGGTTCTTTGCCCTCAGCTGAGCTTCGAGTGAAGCCAATTGGGCGGTGATAGCATTGTTCTGAGTATGCGTTCCCAAAGCGCGAGGTGAGCCTGCCGGTCCATTGGGCATATGCAGTCCGCTGGCGGGAGGGGTAGACATGCCCGTGCCATTGGCGCCGTTCAGCGATGCCATCATGGCTTGTGCGCTAGCCATAAAGTTGTGTTGGCTGACGCCATTGGGCATGTTATGATCAAAGGGCCCGACGCCGGCACCACCATTGACGTTGTTCCGCAAGGGTGGTGAGTGAGATGGGGGCCCCGGCGTACCCTGCTGATGCATCTGTTGGCCCTGGTGTTGCTGCATCTGGACGGCATGCCGTTGTTGTTCGGATATCCGTCGCGCTTGCAACATAGCATTGGCCTGAGGTGTTTGCATCGGCATCCGTTGCTGCTGCTGCTGCTGCTGGGCCTGTTGCTGGGCCTGTTGCTGGGCCTGTTGCTGTTGGTGCTGCGCCTGCATGGCGGCTTGAATCTGGGCTGCAGAAGCGCCATTTATCGGTATCGGAGGAACTAGGCCACCCATCTGCTGCTGGTTTGCGATGGGTGTCATTGCGGCTTGCGGTGTCTGTATAGGCACACGGCCCCGGGCTTGTCCAGCAGCAGCCTGGTTCGCGCTGTTGGTCCGGGCCATGTTCAGCTGAGCCGCCGCGTTATTCGGCACCCCGTGAGTGCCACCGGGAGTAGCGGGCACCTGGGTCTTGTGGCCCTGGGCGCGTGCTTGCAAGGCCAGCTAGGGAGGCAAGTTAGCATCTGCAAGCAACGACACATCGGGGTTAGGCTAGTCGCTGCAGTCCTTACCTTTCGCTGTAACTCCTGGCGTTGGTAGGCCTGTGATACCGATTCGGCGAGGGCCTGGTCGCGTTGCCACCGCATCAAGCTATAATCGCTGGGCGTCTTTCTAGGCCCAATCTGCGGTTGTGCAGCTTCGTTTGCCTTGCGCATCGCCGCCGACTGAGAAGCTTGTTGCTGTTTCTGGGCGGCAGCTTCGCGTTTCTTGGCCAGCTTCCTCATTGCGTCGATTAGAGTAAGATGCTTCTGCTGACGTCTCCTCTCCACCCTCACCGGAGTGGAACTCGGACGCCTACGTGGCAGCGGTGTTGGTGGGCCATTTGGCCCCGCAGATCCTGGAGGCACAGCTCCTCCTGAAGACTGCTGTTGTTGGTGCTGCTGCTGTTGCTGCTGCTGCTGTTGTTGCTGTGCGAGCTGCTGGTTATGCTGCATAATTACGCGCTGAGCAGCTTCGATCCTGTTCAGGTAAGACTTGAAGTATTGTGTCTTCTGCATGTCTGACGGGAGGCCCTCCAGGTTAATCCAGCGCTCAAAGCACTCCCAGGGCGTGCGCCTCTCAGCTCCTGAAGAGAACAGGGAGGTTGGTGCCAGGATGTCGGAGATAAAGGACCAATTATATGAGTGTTGCCGCACCAGTGACCGGAGCTCCTCATCCTCTGCGGGGGTCCACTGTGATGGGTGGCGGCTTTCGTAGAATGACTGCGTCGGCATGTTGTACTCAGCCGGAGGTCGGAATTGATGGCTGGCATGGAGACGATCGCGAATCGGCTTCATGTTCACATCAAAGAGTGCCACTTCCGAGCTCTCCGGAAGAAGATTAGCCCTGTTGGAACCTTGCTCTCCAAACACAACGCCGTCCTCGTCGTCATCTTCTTCTTGCTCATGCTCCAGTCGGCTACGCTTCCGTGGAGGCCCGTCTGACAGTAGTTTCATTTGGCCCTCGACATACTTGTTGAGCGGCAACGCCGGTCGTTTCCAGTGCGCGTCGGGGTCGACTATTGGTCCGGCGAGGCTGTAGCTGGGCACGTCTAGAGGGGTTCCATACATAGGCAACTCCTCAAGCAGGGAATCTGCTGTGGGCGAATGCCGCATGGCGAAAACGATTTCGTCGTCCTGGAGAGCAAAGATGGCAGATGGCGCCACAGTGTCCAAGATGTCATCGCGCGGTTCGTCGATTTGGCCGGGGGTGCCGGCGTCTCCCGAGATTAGGTCTGGTGTAGGTTGGGGGGCAAGTGCATCCTGGTTTGAATCCGCCATCGTGATGTCGCCGTCGGCAACGGCTTCCGGCGTTGGTGGTATTATCGCATTCACCTGAAGCGCCTTTCGGTCTTCGGGGCTAGAAGCAACCCACTCTGCACAGGCGTTGGCGAGGTTCCGTGCCAGGGCCATCTTCCATTTCCTCTCTTCCCGAAAGTCGGTCCGCATCCACTTCATTTCCTGGAGAAGCACGTCCCAGTGCGACTGCTGTCTTACCGGCTCTGGGCACCTCTTGGGCTGTCGGAGAAGCCATTTGTCTTGTTGCTGGAGGTTGTAGACGCGTCGCAGGACCCGGCAAGCTTGGTTGTCCAGGAGCGCGATATTGGCATCCGCTGTCGAGACGGCCTTGTGGGCTTGATTCAGGACAACCTCGATTGGCTTCATCCATTTCGAGGACTGCGTGAAGCCTTGGACGAAGAGGGGGATGAAGTAGTCGTCGGTGGGGAGGAAGCCCTCTGGCTTCTGTTGCTTCGACTCCGTGGCCTTTTCAGTCGAGCCCTTTTGCGACTTACCAAAGACCACAGTAGAAACCTTGCCTTTTCCTTTGTCCTTCCGTCGTGAAGGTCTGCTCCGCGGCCTGAAAGTTGAAGACTGTGGAGTAGACGTGAGAGGAGTCAGTTGGCTAGATGGTGCATTAACGGTGATTGATCTGTCAGGAGAGGGGTGTGATGAGCGAGGTGTTTCTCCGAGAATTTCCGACACTGATTTCTGTCGGATAGCTCCAGTGGACACTCGAGTGACGGCGCGTTCAACAACTGGGGTCGTGTCCGGCCTCGTCGAAGGTAGGGATGGTTGAGGGGGGGGCATGGTCTTGATCGGTTTGCGGGTCGGAATAACTCCTGGTTCCGGAGGACTGGTTTGACCAGCCGTTTGAGCTCCATCTCGTTGATCCACCTCCATGCGATCTTCAGATAATCCCTGATCGTCGGGCTGAGGCTTCGACTCAGTCATCGCCCCGTTGGGAGTAGGAGAAACGAAGTGAGAGGTAGAGTCTCCGGCAGCCTTGAGAACATCGGACTCTGAAGGTCGAGGCGGCAAGTCAGTCGTTCCCTCACGTATGCTCGGCGGAAGTTTGGCTGGTTGCGCTTCGGCCGGCCGATCAGTTGCAGCCTTCTTGAGCCTCACCGACTCCTCCAGCAATTGCGCCTCCGGACCGTCCGGCACTTGAACCTCCACCCCGTCAACTCCATTCTGCACGTCATCCCTGGGCCGCTGATCTGCAGCCCCGTTCGTTTTGACTGGTCGGTCAACATTCCCATTCCTGAGACCAGGCTTCCCGGATTGCTCGTGATCTGAACCGATGTCTGTCGACACATTGCGCGCCTGAGATATCGCGGTTGGTTGTGTGGCGGATCCTGAAGGGAAAACGGCTTCGGTGACTTTGAACGGTTCGTGTAAGGCTGTGTTTGTCTCAGAAGGCTGCGTTGTCCCTGCCTTCGTGCTCTGTAGCTGGGTCGTCGGTTGCGAAGACTCCTGAGGGAGAACACGAGGTGCAAGAGGCCGCACAGGTGCAGGCTCGAATCCCTTTTCACTCCGCTGCTGCTGAACTGAAGCCCGGCCCGCCGTTAGACTTGTTTCCGCCGAATCCTTGCTCACTCCAGATGCGATGGATGAATGGTCAGGGGTCGCGACATTCAGTGAGGGTGTGGGCGTGGCTGTGGGTGCTACTGGCGAGGCAGAGGCTTCCTGGGGAGCTCGCGGCGAAGAAGTGTCTGTCGGGGCAGCGGCGCCGAAACGGGATGGCGGTGGCGGTGCGGATATGCCGTTGGGAAGTTTCGGGGACGGCGCAAGGGTCGAGGACAGCTGCGTGGGCGGTGTAGGGCCATCACGGCCGGACGGGGGAGCAGGACTAGGACGAAGGGTTGCGGGTGAAGTCGCAGTCGCATTCGCATTCGAAGTTCTAGCGGCAGGAGCAGGTGTAATCCGGAACCGCGAGGAAGCATCAAGACCAGCGGGCTGCGCAGGAGAGGCGGATGGGGCAAGAGCGGCGAAGGTCTCCGACTTTGAAATGAAATGTTTTAAACTGTCGTAGGGGAAATTATGTCGCGTAGGCACACTCCGGTCATCAATGATGGTGTCCCTAGTAAAAAGATGTTAGGCATGTGAAGAGAGAGATGTACATGACGGAGGAGGGAATCAATTAATAAAGGACGGAGGAAAGTAACATGGGCGGGAGTATGATTGTGAATTAGGATCCGGGGGAAAGGCTTACCGTGAGATACCGGATCTCGACAAGAAGTGTAAATGAGGTGAGTGGGCGGAGGCCGCGTTGGACTTTGCGAAATCGCTAGGGAGGCCATGATGCTCGGTCGCTACGGCATAGAGCTGGCTCAACTTGCGCTTTCGCGACGTCACAATTGAACTGTACGACGTTAACACAAGAAATTTGATATCGTTGGAATCGGAAAAGAGAGCTCTATCGAATGATGACATTACTAACTTTGTATCATTGCGTTTTGATCGCAAAAGCCTGGTGCGGTCGGCTGGCCCGACCTCAGTCATAGCATCAGTCGCGGCGACATCCGTTTTCGGGGGAAACGAATCGACCAGTGGAATCAGCACGGTCTATCGAGATGAAATCCACGATCGGAAGTGATGAAAAGGGGGTGGTGTGGTTGTGGTGATTGATCGCGATTGACGGGTTGGCTGGATGGCTTGGGGTTTGGCGGCGACCGACTTTTTTTTCTTTCCTTTCTTCGGAATGCGAATATCGGGGGGGGGGGAAGGGGATGCTGGGGCTTGGTGCTATTACGAGGTGGTGTTAAGATGTTTGGGGGTGAAATGGTGACTGGCGGAAACGGCGAGTGCTTAGTGGTAATAGTCATACTGGAACTCCCTAGAACGTGTTTGGCTTGACCCCCCTGCGGGTGGGACTCTTTCCCCTTAACCGTGGTACGGTGCGAAATACTTGTATAAAGTACGAAGTTAGGTACCTACCTTATGTTGGAAGGTACGAAGGTACTTCGAAGACTTTTAGATCAAATAAGGTACCTAAGGAAGAGACGATAGGGAAATAAGAACTTTCCGTAAAAAAATCGAAGGGGAACGGGGTGCTGTACGGTATAAAATGCAATATTAATACTGTCGGAGATATACTCTGTATCAGTATCTTATATAAGAGATGTGGAAGTTTGTTGTCTAGGATGTAGAAGATTACTAACCACAGTGTGTAAAACGGTCCCTCTTTATTTCAAAGTCAGAAGCCGGAAATGACCACCAAGACTTCTTTCCTCACCCTTCATAAAGTACCTACCTCATGTACTAATAATTACGTACCTCTGTACCTACGAATCACTTTCCCACTTTCCACTTTTTCGTCACCACCCTCACCCTCACCTCACCCTCACCCTCACCCCCTTGCCCTTGCCCTTCCCCGTTTCTCCTCTTATCAGTTCTTGAGATTTTTAGTTCGTCATTCGTCATTAGGCTTCCTCCCTACACCTCAACAGCCCCGCTCAAGCACGAAAGGCAACAACAATAACCTCATCTTGAGTACACTCTTCGCGCCCACAGTCAACCGAGTCCCCCAGTGCTCAACATTCGGATGTCCTGTCCGGATGATTCCGTATCGCCTGTTATCGACTTTGACTCTGGCTACTCATTCGTTCAACTTCTCAGTGTGTACAACTGCTCACTACCTTACTCATTCAGCTCGATACACGTTTTCACCATTCACCATGACCTTGGCCAGATGGACGGTTCTCCCTGCACGAGTCGTGTTGGAGGGGCCGCTTCGCAAACCTTATTACGCCTGGCGTTGACACATGACAGCACCAACGGTCTCGTCGGGTTGGAGTGATCGACAAATTGACAGAGCGTGTTCCCGGATAAAGACACAAAAAGACAGTCGATCCTGGTTGCCGTATTAGGTAAGGGTTCATCGGCTCACTTGAGTTACCATCTTGGTTGCTTATTACCTTCGTTGCTCTACTACGGAGCATGGCTGAGCTCACAGATGGGAGTGTAGTGTGTCTCTTCAGCCCTGGCTAACCCAGCAAGACTGCCCAGCTGTATGTACGTACGTACGTACGTACGAGTCCTGTGTTCGTGCAACTAAAAACATAAAGAGCACCATCTCATGTTTGCTTGAAACTCGACGTCTTCAATCCACTTCCGACGTTACCGTCTTCTCTGTACGTTGTACGCCTCCAGATTCGGAAGTGCATAATGTTCGACTGTATCGCCAACTGGTCCTACGAAGTACGGAGGAGCTGGACCCGCTAACTTTGACCCGCTACCTGCCCTTCTCCGCAATCGCGGATCCTCCGCCCTTGTTTCGGAGCTGGCTACCTCCCGAAGTCTCCACCTCAACCGGCCGGGAATCGGTCAACCCTCTTGCGGGTTCTTGGCACAGTAGCTGACGCCGGTCCGGACCCAGTGACTTTATACCTCGAGGCTTCAGATGCTGTACCTTCCTCGCGGTAAAGTAAGGTACCTTAGTTTTGTTTCCTTGTGCCACCTCAGTGCCGGCCCCCATCCCCATCCGTGAAGGCCCGCCCCCCTTTGGTTTGGTACTTGTAAGCAGTCGCCGCCAACAGGTAGTCGACGTGACTTTTGGGCCTTATTACTACATCTAGCGGTTAATAATCTTGGACCTTCCGTCCTCACTAGCCATCGCTGAATGATTCACGAGCACCGCCTACTTCGAAGAGATCGACCCAGCCTGGCCAGTCGTGTCGTACTCTGTTGGCGCTGGGAGCGTAGGATATCGTTGACTGCGAGTGAACTCTTACCTGTTACCTGTTGAGACACGACTCTATAATAAGAACTGCCCTGACTCCTGAGTGGGCTGAGAGGCGAAGAGAGGCTCATGGGTTTCTGTAGCCAAGTATATCACGTACCGGGACGTCATCGTCGAAGCCAAGTCCAACAACGCGTCGGTGGAGCCCAAGAACGGCGACTTCTTCAACTCGCTGAACGTGGAGCACATCAAGATGGAACGGGTCTGGGTCGACTCGGACGACGACTGCTTCTCGCCCAAGTCGAACAACACGGACGTCCACGTGGACACGATGTACTGCAACAAACTCGCACGGGCAGTCGCTGGGCTCGCTGGGCCAGTATGAGGGCGAGTTCGTGTTCGTCAAGGACGTGGTGATCGAAAACGTGTGGATGCTGAACGGCGACAACGGGGGCGCGGATCAAGGTGTGGGCGGGGCCGGAGGTGGCCGAGGGCTTCGTGGACAACGTGACGTTCCGCAATTTCTGCACGGCCAACGGCGTGTGGCCCATCTCGCTTGAGTCTTGCTATTTCAACATCGACCCGGAGACGAGCCGGCGCCACCCGTCCAAGATGAACGTGACCAACGTGCTCTTCGAGAACTTCCGCGGCTACTCGAGCGGGGCCAACGGGCGGGCCGTCGCTCGCGTCCGCTGCTCGACCAACACGGAGGCCGCTACGTGCCGCAACATCAGGTTCGAGAACTTCAACGTCACGTCGCCCTGCGGGGGCGAGCCGGTGGTCATCTGTGACGGGATCGACAGTGACCTGGGCGTGCCTTACGTTTCTTTCGATAGCGAGGAGGCGCAGGCTGCGCTGGCCGATAAGTGCGAGGAGGAGAGGGCATCCATTGAATTGACCCTCCCTGGCCGGTCCGGGACTATAACCCTCGTTGACTAGTAAGATTTCGGGGGAGTTGTTTCAGTAGAGCGTCTGTATCCGTACGTCGATCCGAACCCGATTCTCGTGAATATACTAAAATTTGAAAAGTACATAACGGCAAGGCGTTCCAGTAAAGGAATGGGAATGACCGATATGCCGAGAGTCATGATGTCTCGATATCAGCAGCTGAGTGTCGTTTCCTCTACTTGCCTCAACGAGGACAAGGTAGGCAGCTCGTCCATCTACGACGTAGGGGAGGGAATCGAAGAGCGAGTCTCGTTCGGGGTATCCGTAATTACTCGGCACTTCAGTACTGACTGCCACATGAAATGGGCCATTAGGCACCTATTTTTGTACCTTTGATTCCGCAGGCATCCATGCGGACGGACGGAGTAGGACGCAGCCGGTGCATCTTTGATTGGTCAATTGGTCAATGGTTCCATTGCTCCGCCAGAAAGTCGGACAATCGGGATAACAAATTTCCCGGGATCATCAAAAGACGATAACAAACTCCGCCATAAGTTTTGTGATGGCCCTGTCCCAAGTCCCGACTCCGCTGGCGAAACACGCTTTGCCGTCAATAATAGTAAGGGTTCGACTTGGAACGAGTTTTATCCTACGACCGCGTAATACTGACCAATACGAATAGATATAGATGCATGTTTACGACAAGCCCGGCCCAATTTGATCCTCCTACCACCCATGTTATGCCTATTAGTAAGGCACGGGGCTAAACTTCTCCGAAGCAACCACTAATGAGGATGAGGAATTAACTAAGGTACCAAAGAAGATCAGGAGGTGGCCCAATGTTACGGATGTTGCGGAGTACTTTGCTGTTGCCAAGGCATCCGCAAGCTAGAGCATTTTTCCTTCTGAGCTATTGTCTCCGTGGCCCAAATCCTACTTTAAAACAGCGTCATCCCCCGTGAAGATAATCACTAAGGTATAACATAGCGCCTTTATCCTTCCCTAACTATTTTCAGTTTTTCGCCGCCTCCTGTTCAAAACGTCCCTCTGAAAAAGAAGTAATAAACGAACAAAAACAATCAACCATCATGGCTTGCTCCCTTGGTCTCGACTTGTCCCAGAAGGGCCTTGCCCTCTACACTGTGAGTCTTAGGTTCTCTGCTGGGTATATTGTTTCTCGCGCCTCTTCTCAAGTATCTCCTCATCATCTTTCTCTGTTCGCAATCGCAAACATGAGGGCTGGTGACGAGTGAGAGAAAGAAGGAAACCCATTAGAGATGAATCGGGAAACGGACCCAATGACTGGATCATTTCGAGCTAATGTTGTCCATCTAGATCCCGGCCGCCCTTTTCCTTGCTCTCGTCCCTAGCGGCTACGCCTTATCACTCGCGCGTTCCAACGCGGACATCCACGAGCCTCGCAAGTTGCTCCAGCGGGTTGAGAAAGACGAGACGCTCGACAAGCGGGTGCGTACTTCTCCTGTCTTCACTTCCTGACTCTTCGTCGCTGCCTTCCCATGCAAAACCCGCCCCTTCTTTCCCTTTTCGTTCCTTTCCCAGTCCTGTCCTTTCCTTCCATCTCCGTTCATGTCCTCCTCCTCCCTTCATCACCCCAAGGATTCCACCCACAGTCTTCTTACCGGGGGAGAAAAAAAACTAGATCAAGAGCCGCATCATCCGAGCCAAGGGCGCTTCGGAAAACGCCATCGAAACCCTCGGCTACCACGCCGTCGCCGTCGCCGCCGCTGTCTTCTCCGGCGTCGATCCTTGCGTCGTCAACGGCCTCTCCCTCGGCTACCTGGTCGCCCGTGTCCTCTTCGCCTACACCTACGTCGTTCTCCAGGACAACCGCCGCTTCGCTCCTCTGCGCAGCCTCTTTTGGTTCGTCGCCCAGGGCATCACTTTCACTCTCTACTTCAAGGCTGCCCGTGCCCTTTCGGTCTGAGCTGGTGGGATTCTAGCAGAGAGAGTTGGAGCGGAATGAAGGGGAGGGAGGCACTGGGTTCCCTTCTTTTGTACGTGAAAATGGCTTGTAAATAATACGCTTTTACCATGTATTATGAGTTTGACAATGCCCCTCTGATCCCCCTCGGGAATGTACATACAACCCCCGTCCTAATCCCATACTTGATCGCAGGAACACCATGGATTCAGAGAGTAGAGAATTTGATGTCATCTCCCTCAGTGCGTATCACATTGCTCGGCATTGATTGGCAGTGTAGATAGTTTGCTGAGTCTGTATGACCCAGTCCGATCCGCTTCGCTGGCGTTGACTCGGATGAGTGTTGCCCGATAAACAGAAATGACCAAGAGTCACGTTCACACGCAGTTTGCTTGCTTTCTTTGACCTCTCGCCACCCTATTCCCTCCTCCCTCTGGTAAGCGAATCTCTCGCCGTGTAACGAGGAAAGTGTGTCCTCCGTATGACGGCCGGCCCCGACTCTCTTGTGTCTTCTCGACGTGACTGAGCATCGCAGGCTGTTGCTGCTTGACCGGGCTCTGAGAAAGCCATTGGCCATTGCGCCCCGGGAGGTCTGGTCTGCTTGCTTGCTTGCCCGGCTTTCATGACTTGGCCTGTTGCCCTGATCCACCGATAAAAGGGCCGCTGAGTATGAGTCGTACCACCCACACGCATGGCCAGATGTCAAGGAGGCAACCTCGGAGTCGTTCTTTCCGAGAGAAAGAAGAGAAAGGCAGAGGAAAGAAAGATCAACCCGATCTAGCGGGTAAAGTCCAGCCAACAAGACTGCAAGTTTCCGGGTAAGGTTGGGTGGCGACCTCCTGACGGCTATTGACTCCTTCGTCCTGGCCTTGGAGCTACCCCTATAAATCTGGCCACACGAACGAACACTAGGCGGGTAGAGATTAGTCTCATCTTGTGAAAAAGCATATCCTCATCGCGCTTCTCGGCCTTTTCTTTTTCTTTTGGCCCCTCCACTCATCGGCAAACGCCATAACTCAACTCTTCACATAGCAATCCCGAGTCCCCAGACAAGGCCTGTGTGTCCCAGGAACACCTTTTTTCTCTTGCGACGTTATTAAGTTGCGGGTAGGTATAAATTCTCACCCTCTCTCTCGAGAGAAAGGCGGTGCCACGGGGTACTCGCCCTCTTCTTCTTGTTGCTGAATAAGTCTGACCTCCAGATTGCGGGCACCAAGACCACTCCATCTTACCATTCGACGACTAAGCGTTGCGTCAAGGACTCGCCAACATGGTCGGCAAAACTCTTCCCACCGTCCTCACCTTCGCCGTGTCGGTAATGGGAGCAGCCCTGCCAGGCATCACCCCTCCCGCCGTCCTCGACCGTGATCTTTCCCGCCCCGCCGCTCCGACGGAATATTCCCTATCCTGCGCCCACGCCTGGTGCCAGGACGGCACATCCATGTGCGGGTACTGGGCCGGCATCACCAGCTGGGACATCTCTCACGGGCCCCGCCCCGGCATGGTCCACACCGCTGTCGGGCCCTGTGCGCCGGGTGTCGCCGATGCCGAAGCTGACGCCGCCGCCGAGAGCATTTACGGTAGCCAGACTGATGCCGAGAATGAAGAAGATGCAAGTGCGACTTCGTTCATTACTTCGCCCACGGTGGTTAGCGACGTCTACGCGGGCACGACGACAGAGCAGGCTGCCGAGACTGCCACCGAGACCGTAGAGTGTGCTAAGAGATACTGCAACGAGTATGGATCGCTCATTTGCCACTATTGGGCTGATGTTACGGCTTGGGATGTCAACGTGGGGATCATCCCTGGCATGACCGTGACCAACCTGGGACCGTGTCCGACTTAGACGCAGGTCTAGGATCGACCACCGTACAGACAGAACCTGGTAATTGATGAAGGAGGAGAAAGGGAGATCTCATGTCTAGTAAGAATGTCGCTTCATAATTTGAACATCGAGGATATCGAGAGGTGGATTGTGTAATAGTCAAGTTGTGCGAGGGGTTCGGTTGAGATGGTTTGTAGTCTTCTAGTGTAGGCGCAGTGATAGAGGTCTAGGGCTTGGTAAGAAAATACAACCCAAAATGATAAGTCGGAGGTGCCACGGAATGATCAGCCATAGATGACCGTGTCAAACACGGCTCTTTTGGCAGGGCCTGTCTCTGCCCCCTCGTCCGTGATGAAGAGAGTCATACTGATATTCAAATTCATTGAATATCAAGCCCTTTATAAGCGGTGATTGTAAGACAGTTACCGAGGGGGACACCTAATGGGAACTCTCGAATGGTTGAACCGTTCGTGGCGTCAAATAAAGAGGCATGTCTATGTCTAGAGTTCTGTGCTTGTGGTCGGGAGAAGCAAGTTCTCTGAATTTCTCCTGACCTTACTTCACTTAGAGTGTGATTAGTCATCCGTGTACCTCATCACATGATGAGACGTCAATTTCGCGGGGAATCTCAAGTTGCACCCCACTCTTCTAAACGCGACAACACCCCCACCGAACATCGCGTTCCTCTCAACTTCGAACTCCGGGGCTTCTCTCTAGAAAATTACCACCAACATTCTCCTCGTCACCCAAACCGCCCCTAAATAATCCAACAATGTCACAACCAACCCCAGATACCGACCATGCAGTATCATCTGCGCCTGCCCCGCCAGCCTCAACAGAAGAAATGGATACCGCCCCCGACAATCCAGACACCGCAGCCCTGGATCCCGACAACACCAAGCCTCAACAACAATCCGAACCACAACCTCAACAGCCACAAGACGACCCTCCCGCCTCCCCTCCCCTCCCACAAAAACACACGCCCGCTACGCCAGGCCCTCGCGCGACCCGCTTCATCGAGATGTACCACGGCGCCCTCCGCCGCACCCTCTCCCGCGTAAGCTACGACAACTTCGCGACCTGCTTCCCCACCATCGCAACCTACGCGCCCAACGCCCTGCGCAATGTCCAGAACCAGATGGTCGACTATCTCGAAGACCGGTGTATTGTGAGTTTGCTTTGCCTTCCAAACTTTGAAGTCCATGATGGAAAGGGAAGGCGGATGGGGGGTAGAGGTGCCGAAGGGGAAACCCGCCGAGGCATAAGCTATGCTGTCTTCGTCTATCTTGACGGGAGATCACAAAGCGTCAACGCAAAACTAATTCAATACACAGAAAGAATTCGAGGCCATCCTGGAAGAACGAGACGTCATTCGCAAACTAAACGAACTCGAAACCCTCAACGCTGAAGCAGAGGCCCGCCGCCACGAAGCGCCAGCTGACGCCCCCGAACCCATCCCGTACAGTCTCCCCCTTCTCTTTTCTCCTTCTTCCTCTTTGTTCTTGCCTCCACGACAACCTGTTCTTCAATGACCAAACCATCCACAACCAACCCAACTCCCACACTCCCCCCCCCCCCCCTTCCCCAACGTTACAGGCAATCCTACCGTTCCGCGTGTTCTAACCCGACGAAAATGTGTATACAGCCCACACACCCTCCCCCCGGAAACCATCCTCCGCGCCCACCTCCACCCGTACCTAGCCCACCACCACGCCCGCCTCAGCGCCGCCCTCGCCAACACCAAGCTCGAGAACGAGGCCCTCTTCGCCGGCATCCAGGCCCAGCGCGCCGAAATCGACTCGATCCTCGCCGCCCTCGACCGCGCTGTCGCCGACGTCGACGGCGCCAACGCCCTCCTCGCCGAGGTAGGCGCCGAGATTGCTGCCGAGTCGAGGACGGCTGATGCCGAGATGACGGGTGGGTGATGTGGGGGTCTTCACCACCAAGTTCATTTTTTTTTTTTTTTTTTTCGTTCGTGATTTGCCTCCTTTCCCTTTTTCTTCCTTTCTTTTCCGCGCCGTCATCCCCTTATGGGACAATGTGGGTTGAGCATGGCGTTTTGGGGGTCAGACCGGCACCGCTCCGGTTGCAATAGGTCAATGGGAAGTTCTATCAGAGGCGTCTTGGGTTCCCGTCGGATGGGAGATGCAACGGAACGGGCCGCTTATTGCTATGGCATATGATACCAGGAGATTGGATGAAATTCCGAACAGCGTGATAAGAATTGTAATGTATGTACACTCGTCCAGGTGGGACTCCTGTAATGAATGCCATGCCATCCGCGCTCCAAGATGACATACCAACCCAACCATGCGTGCGTTCTCTCCGATGCAAAACATGCAAACCATGCTCCAAGCGCCGCGACCAGCTGATGCACTCCAATAAATAGACGCCCTGCCATGCGGTGGTATAGCTGTCTAGTCTACGTCATATTGAGAAGACACGAATCCTGTGAGAAGGGTCGAAGGAAAAGAAAATGAAGAGAAAAGAAGAAGAAAAAGAAAATGTCGGGGAAAATAGGCAGACCACCATTCGCTGAACAAGTCGCCTTCCATCATATGATTGCCATGATGGCAGCGCCAAGGGGCAGCGCTAATAGTGTAAGAGTCTCCTGGCAGGCCGATCATTGTCAAACTGGCCATACCTGGGCGGCAGGACTCTAATCATCCGTCCTGTTTCCCAGTCCACGAACCAGCGGGTGCCCCTTAGCACGACGTATTCCGATTTTCGTGGGCTCTGATATAGCAACACGGAGAAGCATAACCTTGCGTATCGAATGTCGTCCTCGACGGTCCAGATGCCATGGTGGGGCGTCCATTTCCCCGTGGGCGCGACGGTGGACGCGTGCCAAGGCCGGCAGAGATCTGTCACGGATGCCGTGGCGTGGTGACGATAGGTAGATGCAGAAGCGGCAGAGCGACGGGTGGAAGGACGATCGGCCGGCATCCGTCCGTGGCGAGAAGCAACAGCCGAGCTCGGGGTTAAGGTAGGCGAGGAGGTGGGCGACGGGAATGGGAAGGGGAGGACTGGCTTGGGGTTCTGTCCCGGGTTCTGCGACTCGGGCGCCGGCGATGAGTTGGTCTCCGGGTCTACATTGAGGGCGAGGCTCATACTGGATGCCTGGTTCGGGGAGTAATCGCGAGATGCAGCCCTGGAATCATTGCCCCCATTGGGTGGGGTGAGACGAAGTTGACTCAGGGGCCGGGGCGTCGGAATAGGATAGTAATGTCTTCCTGGCAAGCTGCTAGACGTACGAAGCCACCGAGACCGATGGGTCCTGGGAATGCTCTGATCGGGGGGAAACTCCCGCTCCTCAAGCGGTTCTGCAATGGCCATGGCAGCAAAAAGGGCATCGAGCCACTTCACGAAGGTCGTGGATTCAACGCACGCAATGAGAAGCTGATCTGTTTCGAGACGAAGACGTATCACATTGCGACGTCTTTCCCGTATTGATCAGCTCATGTCAGCCGTATGACTTTAGAAGAAAAGAGGGGCATATTCTTTATAAAAAAAAAAAAAAAAAAAAAAAAAAAAAGCACCCCCCCCGGGGCCAAGGCATGCCTGGTCGATGGTAGACCAAGAGAACTCACTTTTTATAGTCAGCGGCGATTCCAGCGTCTGCGTGCTGAAGCGTATAGGCGCGAAGCAGGGCACCCTTACGCACCCAAGGAGGGTTGTCGGGAGACATGGCTGTCACCCAGTCCTTGGTGACACCCCAGCCCCATTGCGCCCAGTCATTTTTGACGCTGTACAGCTTGATTTGGGTGCCGCGAAGTTCGATCAGGACGGTACTCCATTGGCGACTGTCGGCACGCTTGTTGGTGTCTTCGATCTCCATTTTGGTTTCCCAGACGCCCTGGAGGTCGATGTCGGTGGAATAGGGCGGCAGGACATCGTCGGATCGTCTCTTGGGCACTGCTCTCGACAGAGTTCTACGGCCAGCGAAAGGCCGATAGGGCGGTGGCGGCTCGGCAGGAGGTCGTCGCGGGCTTGTCGTCATGACTTGCTCGTAGAAATAATCCTCTTCGACGGAAAGCCGACGGCGGCGTCGTGCGGCTCCGTTTTGAGGGGATTGCCCCTGGACAGTGGGGGTAGAAGGCCCATCTACGGTTCTGGGCGAAGTCATAGGGCACGGGGTGACGACGGTGGACTGGAGTCGACCTAGGCCTGGGGGAGAGGAAGGCGGAGGAGAGGATGGGGCCCAGCCAGCACCAGGGTGCGGCGGCGGTCAGAAGACGTAACCTTGTCCACCTTGGGCCGGGTTCCGAGAGGACGTCGGGAGAGGGGTCTTCAGATGGCAGGTCGTGGAACTGGAGGGGTTATACGGCACGACCCTCACCACCAATGAACATGATGAGCAGACGCCACCGTCGACATGTGCTGGGAAGCCAAGGCCGAGAGGACAGGCCAAAGATCCGGCCGAGAGCGTCGTGCTAGCAACTATAAGGACGTAAGGAAGAGAAAGAAACGAAATAAAGCACTGTGATGGATGGCTGACCTGAAGGCCATCTACGGAGTAGGTAGCGATCTCAGACTGATAAGAGAAGAAAAAAAGACTGAGGTGAGTGATACTATGGCGCTAGTTGGAAGGGCGTCCAAGAGCAAGTTCTTTCAAACAACCCGTCTAGCGAAGACGGATGGGAATTCGAAGCTGGCGGGCCCGGGTGACGTTGCAGACCAGTAGTTAGTCTGACTCGAAGAATATCAAGAGATGTGGCTGGCGGGAGGGCGTGGAAGCGTGAGGGACGAACAAACAACGAGGGAAACTAGTGACTAATAGCCATGGACAGATGAACAGGGGAAGACGGGATGAGCGTCATCACAGGGGTCGGGAGGAGGGCATGATGGCACGAGGGCACGCGAAAGCTGACAAGCAAGACGGACATGGTCCAATAAAAACTGGAAATAGTATCCGTAATAGAAACCCACAATAAGTAATAAGGCATGTAGGCGAGAGAGTATGGATGGATATTGGGCGGATAGAATAAGCAGAGAAGGTCAACAGACACCCCTGATCGGCAGATGGGTGCTCGGTGCTCGGTGCTCGAGAAGGCAAGGGACCAAATAATAAAAGAAGTGGGCATCTCCTGGAGAAGGAGAAACAAAAGGGGATCAATGGCCGGACAAAGTGGGACCGCAATAGGGCGGGCGTTGGTGGGGGGGAGATGGGACATGGACATCGGAGCGGATGGGGATTCCGGGCAGGGTGTGGTAGGTAATTAAGTTAAGGTATGTGACACAATTGCTTGGGGGAGGGGGGAGGGGGAGGGGGAGGGTGTCGTAACAGTGTGCTCAACCACCTTGCGATGGATATGAGCATGTTTTGCGCATTCCGCTCTCTTCTGCGTCGCTATGTGAGAGATGAGGGAATAAAACAAATCCAGAGAGACGAAATGATGAGGATTAGCTATCACCTAGTTATTAGAAAGGGGGTGGGAAGGATGTGGGGGGACGAGTGCGAGTGTGGTTAGGAGGCCGAATGAAGATGGAGAAGATCAGAAGAGAAGATTCGTCCGTCGTCGGTCAGGGCCCCGAAGACGATTGACCGTACGTGTAAAAGTAAGCATGCACCTTACCATAAAAGGCATCCGTACCTTACAGGTAAGCACTTTACACACGGAGAACGGAGAACGATGTACCCAGACGTGTGGATATGTGGATACGCAAGCAATTAGTAAGCCAAGATACCTAGGTACCTAAGGTAAGCAGGCACAGTACATGGGCATTTGACGAGATGTGATGCAAACGTGCAAAGAGGGATAAAGCGGAATGGAAAATGGAGAGCGGAAGGAGTACCTATCCGTTGATGTGATGAGGGGCATCGTGTTTGCACGGAGACGCAACTACCTTATTATCCGTTCTCTGCACTGCAACTGGACATGGCCTCCTGCAGACTAGACCATTCCGGGTAGGTAGTAGGTACCAAAATATCAGCCAGATACGGAGTAGGTACATAGATACACGTTCCCAGCCCGCAACATCAACCAGAGAGGGCAGGAGGTCAAGGTAGAGAATGGAGCCCGGTGAGGACACCGGACATTACGAGAAGGCCGATGCTCCAGACCTTTGAATGTGGGTTCCGAGTTCATAGCTTTCCTGATCCCGAATCATGGGCCTACGGAGTACGGGTCTTATTCTCACGAAGTAGTGTGCGTGTACATACTTCGTGGACGAAAGAGATGGCCCGCGCAGTCCAATACGAAGACGGCTAGCTGGATGATCCTTCCGTAGCGCGATCGTCCTCCAGGGATCATCCCCTCCACCGATCCCATCCACCGATCACAACCCATCAACCCCGGAGAAGTCATGATCGTACCAAAAAGTGGCCATGGACGACTATTCATACCCGGTGAACCGAGGATGCTCTACGGGGCTTCGGGCCCCTCGCTAAACAAAGGGGCAGGAGAGATACAGATACCAATCATCAACTCGGTAATTTAAGCCTCCCTTATCCTTCACTGCGTTCTCCCCCACCCACCCTTTTTCGCCCGGGGTTGTATTGCCATCCCTGACATACCTACAACCCTGACATACATGTTCCATGAAGATTCCACCAGGCTTCCATGCCGTGAAGGATGGGCCTTCCCGCCATCTTTTGGCCCTCTCGCTTGCTGCTCAGTCCTACAGACCTTGGGCTCACCGCCCTGTCTCCCAGCTCCTGTCCTGGCCGGAGAGGGGGATACCAAGTACGCACACGCGCGCCCGCCAAGCCACCTTACAACGGTGCTTCGACGGAGAACGACCTCAAGCGGCTGCACAAGAACGGGAAAAAGAGCCAGCCGCTGCACCTCTTGGCCCGGTGAAGAAGCGGCCCAGGGCGCTCCCGGCCAGTCTCCGCCCCCTCCCCATTTCTCGATAACGCAGGCAACACGCAGCAGGCGGCCTGTTTCCGAAGTACAACGTACAAGCCAAGGCAAGGCAGAGACCATGAACGAACCACATGCTGCCTGCCGCATGCTCCCGAACTATGTCTTGTCGTCGTACCCCATAGTAGTCAAGTGTCTGGGGTTTAGATGCAAGCCACTTTCTTGTCCATTGGGACGACCCTCTTGTGGACACGGCGTTGCCGGCTTGCTGGGTCCGCTCGGGTCGGAGCGGAGAGGACGTTGGAACAATGTCACCATCCCGACCTGGTGATAGTTGGAATACTCTTCGTTCGATGCCTCTGGACACACAGAAGCTGGTATTTATCTTCCGTCTTCCGTACTAATAACTGCACGTTTAGTCGGAGACCTCTTTATCACGCAAAGATCGGGGCGAAGTAAGGTACGGACTAGTCCGTTCTCCGTACTTCTCCGTACCTACCTTACAGCATGCTACCTTAGTCGAAAGGTATTATCACTGATCTTATTTGAGAATCATGTACCCCGCCATATGCGAACGACGCAAAACCTGCATACAGTTAATTCGGGGGACGGGGCCTTGGTCTTCCTTCTCCTCGGTAACTGGGATCCGAATAGAGGTCTAATGCAAGTCTCGGAATAGATGCATGTGGTGAGTATTTATAGAGAACATTGCGTGTGAGAAAAGGAAAGAAGTGGCGGGTAAATAATTCGTAGACACCTAGGTAGATACTCAATTGCTGTCGTCTGCCTTAGGTAGGTACCCCCATGCCTCCCATCCCATCCTCTGCAAACGAATACAGTGGCCTGACAAAAGGACCGAAGCACTTGACATAACCACATGGCGTAGAACGCTTCGGTCTTTTAGCCGCTAAGGTCGACACTGTTTGTCATCCTTCATTATTGCGTATATTAACGTTCTCAAATGCAGGCAGTCAGGCGACATGCCGAAGTAGGCAGGCAGTTGAGCAATTTATCCATCCAACATCCCCATACTACGGTAGTACGGGACGATGGTACTGTCCATTACTAATACCTATCTCCCTCTCCCCTCGCAAACGCTCAAACTGCCCCAGACACCAAACCCAGCCAAACTTGAACTGGCAGGTCGGCTTCTCGAAATCTTCCGCGCCGCCCCCAATCTCGTTCCTCATCCAAACCTACGCTAGCTAACCTACCTACCTACCTACCTAAGCCTTCATGTCCGATCAACTGTGCATTATCGGACCGTCTCCGCGTGCGGCATCAGACACAGAAGACCATCGATGTTACACACCATCTCCCCCCTCCCTTTCACCATCATCCATGTCCATACTTCGGCAGTTGGGAATATAGTCAGATCTCCAGCCATAGAGAACAGAACACCCCCCTCCGCCATATATAACTCACGCGTGGTATTCCGGACCGCCGTTTCTCCCTCATCGGAAACCGGCTAACGGTTCCCATGTATATTAGCTTAAGCTTTTGGGTCATCTCATCCCTAATCTTTTTGCTAACCTCACGTTTCCGCTTCGCAGGGCCAATTCCACCAATGGAATAAGCCCTTCCTTTCCCTCACGCTCTCCTTAGAGACTGGCATAATACAGTACTATAGGAACGCCGCGTCCCATCCCTACCATATCCGACCTTTTCCCTTTGTACCATCATACCGTACACCTGTTTTCGCGCTTCTTCCACAGTTATATGCCGCGTCCATTCCCTGGCAAAATCCTCCTCTTTTTGTTCCTCCACAATACTCATCAATGTACAGCTTTGCCCCTCTTCCTCCTAACCGACGTTGAATGAATCAGGTCCAACATTTTGTTGAGCATGAACCGACGCCTCATCGTAGGTTAGCCAACCGCACGAAATGCATATGCTGAAGAAGTCATGCTTGGTAAACCGGCCCCATCCCATCGTGACGAGACGGAAACAAAAAAAAAAGAAAGAAAGAAAAGGGAAGAATAGAGTTAAAAAAGAAAGAAAACGGGAGATTCGTGCCTCCGACTCGAACTCCCATGGAAACAGTGGCCCATAAAGGATCGAGCTTTTTTGCCTGTAGGATGACAGGCTTAGGGATATACCGCCATGTACACAGAGCGGAGGATGCTGGCGTCCATGTCATCAAAAGAGAACATTGGTCCTCGTCTCGGGAAAACCGTGTTCATGATACGCTGCTTCGTCGGCCGGGGAGGATCGATCCGCCTATGGGACATCCATGGTGATGGCAGGATCCCGCGCCGTACGTATGCCGCATAGAGCGTTTGGAGGGTGGGCTTGGTTTAAGCGCTGGTCGCCTGAGGGGCAACACGGCCACGGGGAGCACCACCGCGACCGCGACCTTGTCCAGTGAAACCTCCCCGGCCACCGCCCTGGCTTCCGGACCGCTGGCCGTCGTAGCCACCACGTCCCCGGTTGGCGGCACCACCTCGACCAGGCCCATAGTTTCCGCCGGTGTACCCGCCGGCTTTGAGGCGGCGAGGCTCAACGACGATGTTCTCACCGTTGACAGTGTGAGGATTAGCGGCTACAGCGGCCTGATATCCGGCGGGGGTGGCGAACTCGACGAAAGCGCAGTTCTGCACAATTTGTTAGTTCAAGGTCTTCAAGATGGTGGTGCGGCGAAAAGAAAAAGATAGGAGAAAAAAAAAAAGAAGAAGAAAAACTAACCTTCGTGCGGTTAATGTCGAAATAGGTGAGCTCGCCGTGGCTAGCGAGAGCTGCCATCAGATCCTCCATCTTGACCTTTTCCGTCACGTACTTAACGTAGCCCAAGGTGCCAGGGTTCTCGGCAGGAGATCCGGAGATAGACTGCGGGCGGTTCTGGCGCTTGGAGTCGGTGACCGACTGCCATTCAGTCCCGCCCTGCGAGGACTCCTTAGGTTCGGCTGCCTGCTGTGTTTGGGAAGCCGGCTGTTGAGCAGGGGTAGGCGCGGGAGCCGTAGCAGGGGCGGGAGCAGCTGCCTTGGACTGGGCAGGAGGTGTGGCGGTCTTCGGGAGGGGGACGGCAGGTTTGGCCCCAAGGGCAGCTGCGGCACGGCTGGCCCACGACATGGGCTTGGCAGGGACGGCCGGCACTGGCGCAGGCTTCTCGGCTGCCTGAGCAGGGGCGGCGGGAGTCGGCTTGGGTTCGGCGGGCTTCTCTGCTTCCTTTACGCTCTCCTCGGCAACCTCGCGGGCAGCGGCCTCGGGGGTAGGGGGAGCCGCAGCCTCTGGTTGAGGCTCAGGGACAGCCTCGGGCTTGGTAGGCTCGGCAGTAGGCTCAGCTGGCTTCGGGATAGCCTCCGGCGCCGCAGCTTCCTCGGGCTTCTTGTCGGCAGCCATGGCCTCAACCTCAGTCTGCTCCTCCGCAACCTTCTCAGTTGCCTCAGCGGCAGCCGGAACTTCAGACTCCGGGGTCGGCGCGGACGCGATCGACGCCTGCTCCTCCTGAGTTTCGGGGGCGGCCTCTTCCTCTCCTTCCTCACTAATGAAGCGCAGGATGTCGTTGACAACAAAATAGCCGGAGGGTTGTGGGGCGAGGACAAAGGTCTGAGCGAATTTCTGGGGCTCGCCGGCCCTGTTGGAAGTCTCACCAATAACCTGGATGACGATGTTGTCGAAGGAGGCCATGGAATCCACGTTGGTGACGCGGACTTTGCAGTCCTGGAAATCAAGCTCCTTGATGCGCTCTTGGATGGCCTACAGGTGTGACACAAAAGTTAATTGGGTGCCTCTTGATAGGACTTGTCGTGCGCGGCGGGTAGACTCACACTTCTTCCAACCGAGACGCTAGCAACTTCGGCTTCTTTCCCATAAACGAACTGAGACCGCTTTCCGTAGAACAGCTGTGGCCTTGGTTAGTAACCTGGGTCATACTCTTCGCGAGGAGAGAGGCGCAAAACCTACATGAAGCTTCTCGGGTGTCTTGCTCAGGGTAGTGTAGTACTGCTCGACAAAGTACCAGCCGACCTCATCCTTGCTAAGGTTGCTAGAGTTGCCGGAGGAAGTTGTCTCAGCAGAGGCAGCGGGCGCGGGCTCGCTATTACCCTTCAGCTGTTCCTGGTTCGCGAAGGTACCGTTGGCCGCCATGATTGCTGAGTTATCGTGGATATATCTGTGTATTGGCGCAATCAAACTCCGGGGTGGCAGAGAAGAACCGTAAGAGGACGAGGTGATATTTGACACAATTGTGAAAGGAAAGATCGGGGAGGTGGTAGGAAGACTGCTCTCAGGTAAACCGTCAGCGTTGGGTTGCGAGCAACTTGGTCAAATTGTAGAAATGAAAGAAGTGGGGACGGAATGGGGGTTGCAATCACACACCTTCAAGACTCGATATGGACCGGTAATATCGGTTGATGCGTGAGTCGAGTGGGATTCGAGATGATCAGGAAGATGGAGTGAAATTAGGAGAGGGGTAAGGCAAGGCAAGGCGTTCGTGAAGCGTTGAAGTGTTGACCCGGAGATCCGAGGTGAAATATGGGTGGCGAGATTCAACGGGGAAGAGGAGAGTGGGATTTAGCGGTTGGAAGAAAAAACGTGTATGTACAGCAGACACACAAGTCGTTCGATGATGGGAAGTTAGGTGTGGATTAGGTATCGACAACGTCGGTTGGTAAGGTAAGGATGTAGAGGGAGAAAGGTCTTGGGTGGGAAGACGCGGAGGCTTGATTTGAGTTATCAAGACGGTTGGAAGGTGGTGGAAAAGGAAAAAGAAAAAAAGAATAAAAGAAAGAAAAAAGAAAAATAAAAATAAAAATAAAAAGAATAGCCTGGATCGACCTGCCCTGTGCTTTCCCCAAGCTCCCGCTGCCACTGCCTGATTTATTTTGAAAAAGTGGAGAAATTGAGGTACCTAGCCGGGCAAGAGATCTACTTTGCACTCCCACTCAGACATGGCGACAAAGAAAGTACTATGTTGGAGTGTGTCGGTGTCTCTCCTGTGGCTTATTAATGGTTCCCCACATCCATGGAGCTGAGGCCGTGGTCTGACGTTCAACGCTGTGGTGGTGGAGGAATGTCCGCCGCGCTACCCATCCGAGACAGATGTGTAAGTGCTTTCACGATGTGTCCGGTAGAAGGGCCCTTGGCGTCCAAATCGAATTGATATTTAACTGACTGTATTTACTATCTATACACGTCTATCGAGGGATGTGACTTTTGTGTTATCCGTATTAGATACCAGGTATCAACCAAGCGCCTGTGTCAGAAATCCCATCATCCGACTCGGTACCTCAGGGGCCCCCGAGTCGAGGACCTTGTGACCTTGGGTATCATACCTATATCACCCAATCCTTGATCCGATGACGAATCGATGTATAATACAAAGAGACCAAATTTTGAAAGCTGAAGACTTGTCCTGCCTCATCTGGGTTCAGTCCACCCACCCAAACACTTCACTCACAGATAATGTGTTGGCCTTCACACCCGTCAGGGCAACGAGAATACCCACCAGATCCACGGTAAGTAAAACCGCCGCCCCCATCATAAATCGAGGACTGAAGACCCTGTACAGCATCAGGTGTCTCCTCAAGTGACCGGCCCACGCCATCGTTGCCATCGACTCCACCGCGAAAAAGGAGACAAGGGCCCCTAGGGCCCTGCTCGTGCTCTCCAGGACCCCTTTCCTTTTGGGTCCTACCTTCCAAAGAGCGATCAGTGGTAGCGCCGCCACCGCGATGATCTGCCCCGCGAACGTGTTCAGGGCGACCACGACGGGGCTCCAGGGGTAACGGATGGAGAACAGTGGGATGAAAGCACTGTCCCATTGGATGCTGCTCAGCGCCGCCTGGTGGCCCGTCTTGAAGTACCCAAAGTTGCCGATCAGCCCGAGCATGACGGGACCGATGGCCTCGCCCGATAGGGAGTTGAGGTCCACGATTTCCATCAGCGACATGATCTGCCAGAAAACGATGGCAAGAGCTCCGCCTCCCATGGGCTTCGACAGGAGGATACACGCCCCCAGGATATTGAGCGGCAGAAGGAGGTATCTCGCCCCGTGCGCGTTCCCGTAGCCGAGAATCGTGAGCTGTTTAGCTCCGGTCGGGCTCGCTGCCGTGAAAACAGATACCAAGGGCGGTGCCCAAATGAAGGCTGTCGTGCCTGCCACGAAAGCTAGGGCGAGAGTAAGCTGCGCGAGATAGACGCCGATCGACTTGAGCGCATGCGAAGATAGGCTGGGGAACCAATTGCTGTTATCGGCGGCGTCGAGAACCCAGTAAGTGGCGGCCATGAAAAGACCGGTCCTGTATATAGTACCAATCCAGGTCGGGCCGAGGCCTTCCCAAGATCGGGGTGGCACTAGGAACGACTTGATGACGGCCGGAAGCATCAAGGCGACAGCAAAAGGAATAACCAACTGCCAAACCGCCGAGGTTGAAGACGAAGCCGATGCATAGTAAGTTGACGTGCAGTAGGGCATCTGCTCCTCCCGACAGAGCTTCGAGAAGGATGCCACCCTGCCCAGGACGATAAAGACAACAGAATGGTACACGCCTAAAGTGCGGTCCCTGGCAGAGGGAATAGAGAAGGAAGCGACGGCGCTCACTACACCAAAGGTAGTGAGGAAGAACAGAAGGATAGAATCTTCCCAAATAGTATACGAGTTGGACGCGAAGCCAACAGACTGGCTCACAGTGAATATGACCGAAAGCCAACCCCATACCGATGTAGGCAGGATATCGGCCACTCTCTTGCCGGCCCCGAGCATAGATGCCAGGGCAGCCAAGACGCTGGCCAGAGCTGCTGCCGCCCCTGCATAGCTCAGGTCATCGAGTCCGGTCAGAAAGGACAGTGTGGCACCGGCAACCGCCCCGGGGACAGCGCCTACCAGAGCGGCCACCACAATACTCTTGTGACGCGTCTTGTAAGAGGGGGACGAATCGGACTGAAAATCCCGGAGCTCGAGTTTCTTCTCGACCAGGTCGAGCTCCGAATCCTCTGCCGCTGCGAAGTCATCATCTTCACCACGAGAGGAGTACACCAGGAGGAAGACGAGCGCGACACCCATGATGGTAATGCCAGTCACCATCTTAGGGACGTCAAACCTGGCCCAGAGGCCCTTACAGACAGAGAGCGTGTCGTGTTGGTATTCTCTGAACGACCGGTACGCGTCCCGCCACGACTTCGTCCCCCAAGAGTGCTCAGCCGTGTTCCAAATATCCGTCTTGTGGTTCGGAGCGGAGCTTTCAACACCGCGGGCGGCAAAGTATGAGCCCTGATACCGCCGAATTCCCGCCGCGGTGATTCGCGACACCGCAGCCAGATTTTGCCATGCATTTCCCTGTTTGCCAGCAAATGCTTCCTCAATAGGGCCACCGAGGTTGTTGTAGGGGATGGGAATCCCGAGCAATAGAGCCAAGGTCGGCACAAGGTCAATCTGGTTGACTGGTCGGATTTTTGCCGTGGCTGGAGGTTGGATATGCTCAGGCTCGGTCCTTCCAAAGAATGGGCGCTTGGAATACATCCAGAGCGCAGCCTCCACCTCGTCGTCGCTTTCACCGCCATGGTCCCCCTTGCTGTCCATGCCGTGGTCGCCCATCACAACCAGGAGGGTATCCTCGTCGATGCGCGAAGTGATATCACGGATGAACTCGTCCATTTGTTGGAGTTTGGCCGTCATGGCAGCATGATCGGGACCATACCGGTGACCGGCGTGATCCACTCCGAGTAGATGGCCGATAAGAAGATCCCAGCTCCCCTTTTGCCGGTCTTCGAGAAGAGGAGCGAGATGCTCTATGACACCATTGTCAACTGTGTGTAGATCCCAGACGTTGAAGCTGTCATAGGCGTGGCTGATATTGGCCTCAAAGTAGCCGGGGAATAGTGATAGCCAGGTGTCGTCTCCCAGGTGTACAATGCGCTTTCCAGCGTCTTTCATCCGCATCAACAGGTTGTCCTCGTCAATTGCTGTACCCGCAAAGTTGCTCCCCGCATCAATGAAGGTCGGCAAGGTACCGGTGGTTAGGCCTTTGAGCCGCTGAAGGGTGGTTGTCGGTGGGTCGGCGATGAAGGGTCGCAAGACGGCGTGCTCGGGAGATCGGACGGCAGTCTCGTGTAAGAAGGGAAAGGCGTTGTGGAAAGGAGCGTTATCTTGTACGGGCACGGTGAAGTCATACCGAAGGGCGTCGATAACGACGACAACGGCCCTGTCAAAGGACTTGGGGTGCCAGCACCCGCCCCCGACGGTCCCTCGGCCGTTCCAGCTCGAGGGGAGATCCACCGGCGGCACAGCACAGCTCGACTTCTCGTCCAAAACCAGACGTGTCAACAGAAAACCACTTGTAAAGAAGAGAATGCCAGCGGCGTGTATGCAGAGCATCCATGTCCAGAAGCCGACAGTCCACCACCAACGACGCCCGTATTCGGTCTTGCGTCGAGCTTCGAGGGCTTTGCGCTGTAGCTCGAGGGCTTTGGATTCTGCCTTGTCGGCGGGGATGCCCGCATCTTTCATTGTCGCGTCTTCCGCCTCTTTCGCATGCTTTGCGCGGGCATTCTGACCCGCAATAGCTTTGTACTCGGACGAGGGTGTCGATCGTTGACGGCTTGATGGTGCCATGGCGGGCCACTCGGGAAGGACCAGAAATCAATGGTGGTTACGAGCCTGCTCCCTCTGTGCCATTGGACTCGGCGAGGACTGGCCAGCCTTGTCGTGGATCGCCAATTGGTCGCTGTACTTTGGCGAGTACCTTCTGTTGTTGACGCTGTGAATCGAGGAGTGTTAACAAGGTCTCCATCGAGTCGATCAAGACACGGAGAAATGGTCGAGAGATCTGTCCCGGGCGCCCCACTTGCAGTGTCAAAATACTCCGGATGTAGCTCCTGTAACCTTGATATGACGTGCGGTTATGATACCTAACAAAGTACCCGGTGTTATTTCAGTATCATATGGGTATTCATACTGTGGACTTCAGCCGATCTCTGAACCTACCCACAGTGCCCGATAAGTTATAACTGGTCAGACTGTCGACACTCTTGGAGCTTTATGTTGACAGAAATATCTCGAAGAAGAGATTAGATTCTGGGAGGCGGTAAGGCTGGTACCTCCAACACAAGGTAGTCCGTTGACTTCACCTCCGGCTTGAATTCTGGGCCCAGGTGCGGAGTGGGCTTCGTACTCCGTATAAGGATTTTCACGGGTAAGAGACATAGGCCGCGGGCGCAAGACCGCGTAGAAGATGCGATACGCTATGGCCTTAGGGTCAAGTCATGGGCGTCCACATACGAAAGCGACGTGGATCTTCGCCTCTCGCACGCGGTTTTGGTTACTGGACCCTCCATGTACGCCAATAGTAGAAAGAGAAAGCTGGATTTCCATACCAAGGCGGTCTTCGTCAATTCTTCTCATACACTGGCCTTCTTCCCCAAGACCAAGCCCAATGCTACTGCAAGTTCGAAGTCCCAGGCAGTAGTCATAATACAACCACCTCATTTTATACAAGAAGAAAGGAAAGAAAGGAAGTCTGTGGCGTTCTGCCTGAGTCTACCTAAGTATGAATGTCTGCTGCTCTATACACATACTACAATGAAAGCGTCTCTTCGGATGCTAATGAAAAACCATGGCCTTGCCGGTACTTTCCATTTCAGCTCGCTGCTAGAATCTCGGCTGCGTCAGGCGCAGAGGCATGATCCCGCCTTGCGTCGGCAGCCTTCAACAATTCTGCTTGCTTTCGCAACCGCTCCGCCTCCTTCTTCTGCTCCTGGCTCAGATACGTGCCGTATCGCAGCGCGCCGAGCGTTAGGACTGCCATGAAAAGTATCCCAATGACAGAACGTCGGATGAGTACCCAGCGCAAGCCCTCAATCTCCGACTTCGCGTCGCTGCTCAAAGAGATGCTGATCTTGTAGCTAATTTGCTGGATCTGCGTTTGGAGTTGACCTGGTTAGACCCTAACTCGGGGTTTGGCGAGGCCGGGAAAACAGGGCATAGGACTCACCGTGCTCTCGACCGCCTTTTGCTCCTCCCGTACAGCAATCCTGCGGTCGTTGAACATCCCACGGACGTTATCGTTGAGAGTGAGGAGCTCCTGGTTCATCGACTGGGTCAGGATGTCGACCTCGTGTTGCAGTAGTGTCCGTTGCCGTCGCATCTCCTCGTCCGCAATCCGTCGGTTGTTCTTCACCTCGGTGCTGAGCTCCGAACACGCTGCACGGAATAGGTACGTCTCCTGCAAGTGACTGTCAGTCTTCCACATCCAAACTGTACGGTCATGGGAGGGGGCAGAGGCCAGCCATTCTTCCGAGCTGAAACGTACATTCTCAACGTCGCTCTTGCTAACCAAGCTGTCCTGCGCGACGTCCAGGTTCTGCGCCAAGAGGCCGCGGATCGCCTTCATGGCCGTGATGGACTGCTCCCGCGTATAACCCCCGATCTCCAACTGTTTGACGAGAGAATAGCTGTCGAAATGGTGCACATAAGGCGGAGGAGACAGATGGGGGTGCTTGGGTGTATTGTTCCCTTCCTCCGATTTTGAATGCAGCATGGCCTCAAGCGGCCCGCTCTTCTTGGCCTCCGCCCTCACCTCGTCCCGCGCTTCCGACGCGGCCTTTTTTCCCTTATCAACTGACTCTGGGGTAGATGTAGAGGATTTGGAGCTTCTACTGCCTCCACTGCCGGCACCCTGCGGGGCATCTGTGGTTTGTTTCGGCTCCGGTCCTTCGGTGGTCTGAGCACGCCCTTGGTCGGGGTTTCCCGTGGAAGGCGGCGTCTCTGCACTCGAGCTCAGTTGGGGAGGCTTCGAAATCGACTCGTCTCCTAACGGTACAGGCTCTACAGCCTTGCCGTGCCGCCCCACGATGGGTGGCTGTCGCGACGCAGGAGTTGTCGAGAATGCGGCATATTGCCCGTGTCCTCTCGCATCAGCGGCTTGTCTCCGACACGCCCGCGTCGACTGGGTAGAGGCTTCGGTCAGTCGTAACGTCCGGAACAAGTGCGGATACAGAAAGGTCAGTCGCGTGGTTGACATGGTGCGCGGTCGGCTCGGGAACTGTTGTTGGTGAAGGAGCCATGATACGAGTGAGGTCAAGGCTCTAACGTCACGCCTCGGCAGATGGGACCGGTCGCAGCCGCTAAAAGCCGCGACCCAGAGTAACGCGCTAATTTAGCGCTAAGCGCGTTCCGGTCCCGACTCAGATATTCTACGATTACTAATCATATTTATTTCATGCATTTCACTCAGCTGTTATTTAGCAACGAGTGATCACGTCGAAGAAGAAATGAGCTAGCAGTTAAGACTCGTTATATTGATGCTTCCCCGTTACGGAGAGCTAGAACTACAGGAATGTATAGTAGCAGTTCAAAGCGCCGCATGACATCTAGCTCCGCCACAGACGACCGAAGAAACAAGAAGCCGCCTCGCATCGAACCTGCGCTGTATTTTCCTGCTTACACCATGACTTTCTGGCCCAATAGACTGTCCTTATGACTTGTCTCGATGCCCTTACGCCTCTCGACCTGACCCAGAAGCGCCACCCCCTTGTGTGCCAGACGACGAAGAGCCGGGAGTACCTCGGCTACCCGAATCGAGAAGCAGCCTTGGTTTGATGAAGTCGTCATCCAGTTGCTTAAGAAGCAGCGCAGGGTCCTCAGCTTGCCACAGCTGGCGAATAGCGGACCGGGCCGATACACTCGGGGTAGTGGCGATCGCGCCACCCGCCGGGGAACCGGTTTCGGACTGCAGCAGGGACGGAGTCCCTCCTGTTTGTGATGTTCCCGGAGTGAACATTGGGCTCGTTTGTCTGCGAGATGGGCGATGCGCGGGCGGCGGCAGGTCCGAAGTGTCAACATCGCTGTCGAGGTCGGTGTCAGTCGTGTTCCCGCTCCGTCCAAGCAGGTCCGACCTCTCCTCGGCATTTTGCCTGCCAAGGCTCGACGTGCGCCGAAGCGGATTCGGCGACCTATGGCCAGACGCGTAAGATCTCCTTTGGTTGTTCTGAGCCCCTAGGTTCTCTAACGAGACGTTGCCATTGCGTCTGGAAGTTGATTCGATACCGGCCCCGGGGCGCTTGTAGTGGCTACCGCCGGCAAACGTTTCAATGTCAAATTCGTCGTCGCTGTCAAGTTCCTCAACTCCCGTACGAATGCCGAGTATCTCCAACATTCGGGCAGTGGTTCCGCCGAAGATAATGACTGTCAAGACCACGACGACCAGGACGGTAGCCTTGAGTGCGTACGAGTTCTCCCCGGTGAGCAATGCGGCTAGCGCAACGCCGACTGCTCCTCGCAGGCCGGCCCAGAAAAGCATAGCCTGGTAGTTATAGGGAAGTTCGTCACCGACGTCAGCACCCCTGCGACGTGCCCTATAGCGAATGGTCCAGTTGATGGCCCAAGACAGAGGGAAGACCGCCACCCATCGGGCCGCACAGACGGCTAGGACAGTGATGATGATGAGCAGAGGGCGGAACTGCAAGGCGTTATCGGTAAACAAGGCAAGACCCAGATAGATGAAGATGAAGTTCTCCGACAGCTGACCAAGCACTTGGAAGAGAAACTTGGTCGTAAGCTGTGTCCTCCGGGACATATTGAAATAGGCGTAGTGCTTCAGCGTGATGCCACAGAAAAGCAACGAGACAATACCTGTTGCAAAGTCAGAGACAACATGCGAAGACAGCTGTTGTGGGGTTTTCTTGTTACGCAACGTACCAGACAAGTGAGTGCCATTCGAGAAGAAATAGGTGGCATAGGCGATGAGAACAATCAGGCAGCTCTCAATCTTGGGGTATCGTCTGATGTATGTCATCTTGAGGAGGAGAGCCGTCCCAACACCAACAAGGACACCAATGATCAAGCTGCCGAAGAAGACGATGAAAAAGATACCAATACCCTCAAAGAAGCTAACGAAGCTCAGCTTGGAGGCGTGAGCCTTGTACTTCTGGGCTGTTTCAAAAATGACAATAGCGATGGCATCGTTCAGAATCGATTCGCCGAAGATGATGGTGTACAGCTTCGGATCGACCTTGTATGTGTTGAAAATGGCCAATATAGTGACCGGATCCGTAGCCGAGAGGGTGGCGCCCACGGAAATGGCATCGACAAAGTTCATCTTCAGAGACTCGAGTCCGGTCATGGAATACAGCCAAAGAATAAGACCGATGACGAAGGCAGACAAGAAGGTGCCGGCGAAAGCAAAAGTTGCTATGGGACCAATGTAGCGGAAGAAGTTGGCTTGATGTAACTCGTAACCCGCCCCAAGAATGATGGGTGGTAGAAGCAGATTAAAGAAGATCTGGTGGTCGAAGCTGATCAGGTTGCGGATCGAATCGTCGGACATGATAAGCAGCAGAAGGCCAATCGTCATGCCTACAGGTCAAAAGATCGAGTTAGGGAGAGGACGAGTTTCAGCGCATAGATAGGAAGAGAAAGGCCAGTCGAACCTGCGAAAATGGAGATTACTGTCTCGTGGACAGCCTCAATCTTCCTTTCGTGGAGAAAATAGCTCGCGAGGAAGGCTATGATCAGGAGCATGATGGAAATGAAGAGGGCCCAAGACGCCAAGGCCTCCTTCTGCTCCTCGGGGACTGCATTGGGGTGTCAGTCGACATGCGTGGACAGAGGTCGTTTCTCGAGAGTCAACGATAGGGTTGGCGACGCACTATCCGAGTCATCGTCCGAAGGAGCCATCGCTCGGCCTGTTTGTTGCGCCAAGTCAGTTTTGTGCCTGCCAGCGCAGGGGGGAACTTCCCAAGCATACGAAGAAGCTCATCGGCAACCTCGACAATATCTGACGAGGACACCATTGTGGCTAGCGTCGAGTTGGTCGAGTCAATATCGACAGATTCCCAGGGGGGAAATGGGAGCACTAGTCGGGACACGACGAGCAAGAACGCCGAGAGACAGAGGTCGCGATAGCTGTCATCAACACGGTGAGAAGCAAATGTGTCTTTGGCACAAGATGCGACGGGCGCGCATGTAGGTGTCGACGAGGTAATCGATACGACGTGTGAAGTCCTCTGACCTGAAAGCTTGATGTGGGAGGAAGTGGAATAAACTCGTCTGGAGACGCTCATTATCCTCGAGCCAACATCATTGGCCTAGGATAGTGGAGCGAGCGGGAACTAATCTGGGTGGACTTGGGGTTCAGGTACACCGAAGTTGACGAGCTTTGCGCAAATGACGTTTGTTCTCGGAGGTTGAGCAGCTTGAACAAAGTATCGGTACGGAGACTTTTGAGTGGAACCACTAGTCTCCCTTGGGCAAGTGGTGCCTCAAAATACACCTTCCCAGGCTGACGCCATGGTGCACACCGAGCCGAGGCGTGCCCCTTCCTGGTACAAAGTATTACTTGCTTGGTTGGGGAAATCACATGAATTACCTTACGGTATGGAGTGCATCCGTCGAAAACACGGGGTTTTCTTCCATTTCAGTGCTCTTGTGATGCTTGCGACGGTTGGTGCAGCGTTCTCGAGCGCAAAGTCTTGTGCCGTTCAGCTGTAACCCTACGCAATATGCATTCCACTGTCGTTCATCGTCATGCGCATGCCTACGTTGTATCTGTTCATATAGGAAGGTGGCCGTCCCTAAGAAGTCCTGTTAAGATCCGCAGATTGCCCCGGATTCGGACGTTAAAAACTTAAACTGCACGGATGAGCCATCTGCCCCGTTACGTCGGTGCCGGAAGACCGCCAGACCTCCCCGCTAATGTACTCCTCTTACGTACTAGCAACCGATTGCCTCTTAGTTTCGGGCCCACACTGGATAAACAACAACTCGTTTAGTAAGACTCGGCTCATGCCAGTCGGTTAGGTGCGGAATGGGCTTACCAACGCGTCTACACGTACAGGATTCTGCTACATCCTTCGTACTTCGTATAAGTATTTTCACGGGTAAGAGACGTACCCACCTATCACGATGACTTCACAGATTCCAGGCTTGGGTTATGAATGACGTAGTGGGGGGTCTCTAACTCCTAACTCTTTACCGCTTCAAGAACGTATGCGCGCTGTTAGCCATGTACGTACTCTGCCGTTTCATAACGCTTTTTTACATGCTTTGCAAAGCGGACATGCCCTGGTAAGAAATGGACAAGGTGGGTACATTCCCTATTGGAGAACTCTCACGATTCACGACAGCTTCCCGATACCTAGGTAGGTAGGTATCTTCTGCTTTTCCCCTCTTCTTCTTTTTCCACTTCTCATCCCTCATCCACTTTTTGCCAAGATTTTTTTTCCCGCTCCCCTTCAAAGTATCTTCAGCTTCGGTATGTATTAACAGGTCCCTATATTGCTGCCTCGGCCTGTCTTGATATTTACATCACGCACATAGTCACCGTAAGAGATCAGGTCAGGAGTCAGTCTCACCTGTCTGACTTGCGCGAAGATCCCGCATCACTGTCGACTCCTCGGGACTGACGCTGTATACCAGAACTGCAAGTCACTGTCCTCCTGGATTTTTGGGCGGCGACGTTGCTACCCTGCTGGTCGTCAGTTGATCTTCGGCTACCTGTTCACGTATCTCCGGATCTCCCTTTTCTATCACAGTACACCCATCTCTGGGGAGAAGCTCTCCTATTCGTCCAACTATCTTGTCAGACCTAGGCATACAGCCAGGCATCGACAGTGTTGCATGGCTGGTCCAGGAACCGCCTGCCATCATCCAACTGAATTGTTTGGCCAGGGGTAGCCCGGTCTTGGCCAATACCCTGCACGCGGGGGCCGACCTTTCCGTACGACCCTAGGAGCATCGAATTGACGTGTGCCTCGTGGCTGGTTCTGACTCGGTCTCGTGACGCAACGGTTTCCATAACTGATCACGTCCGGTCCTTATCCTATTCCTTTGCACATCCCGGGTCTACTCCCTATCTACCTATTTTATTGTTTTTATCATTCTCAGTCCTCGCAACGCACGTCTTTGTCTTGTTCACTTCATCTTGCAATCGTCCCATACTCACTCTCTGTCTCCCTCGTTGGTTTTTCCAGCTGCAATCCTGGCTCTCGGTTTCTGACGACGCCTTAACTGCTGTCGGGCCGCTGGGTTATGGTTGCCTTCTTCTATCGCCACCTACTCCCTGTCTCTCTTCATACCGAATCAACCATCATTTCTATCACTCGCTCCTAGCACTTCAACCACCGAGCTGCCATGTCAGCTTCCCAGTCTCCATCTCCGTCCAGGGGGGGCCGCACAACCGCCGACTACCGGAACCAGCATTCCGCCAACCCCGACAATAACTCGGCGATGAGGTCGTCCAGGAGTAGAGCTGGAGATATCTCCCCTACTGACGTCAAGAATCCGCATGGCCCGGACGAGACATTGCCTTTGCTCTCTCCCAACACCAGCACAGGAGAGAATGGGTTGCGGAATGGGGACTCTATCTCCGAGCATCATGACGACTCTCAGCAGACGAAAAGCGTGTGGTACCTGGTCCTTTTAACCATCAGCATCGGCGGTCTTCAGATTGCCTGGTCGGTCGAACTGTCCAACGGCTCCCCGTATCTATTGTCTCTCGGCCTGAGCAAATCATTGATGGCTCTAGTGTGGATCGCTGGCCCGCTCACGGGAACCTTGGTTCAGCCATACGTCGGCATGTTAAGTGACAACTGCCGACTGCCGTGGGGGAAAAGGAAACCTTTTATGATCGGCGGCACCATAGCGACGATTATCTCCTTAATGTTACTCGCCTGGACGCAGGAAATTGTTGGGGGCCTACTATCCCTCTTCGGCGCCGATCCCGAGTCTCACTTGGTCAGGACGGCAATTATCTGCACCGCCGTGATCGGAATCTACGTTCTCGACTTCGCTATCAACACGGTCCAGGCCGCCATTCGAGCTTTCATAGTCGACTGCGCGCCGGCGCACCAGCAGGAAGCAGTCAACGCCATGGCGAGCAGACTTACAGGACTCGGTAATATTCTCGGATATTGCGCCGGTTACGTGAACCTGCCCGCATATCTGTGGTTCTTCGGCAAGACACAGTTCCAGGTTCTGTGCGCACTCGCCAGCATCGCGTTGGGTGCGACAGTTTCCCTGAGCACGTCACTCGTTCAAGAACGAGACCCACGGCTCGAGGGACCCCCTGCCAGGGATATGGCGGGCATCTTTTCTTTCTTTGCCCAGATCTTCGCCTCTGTCAAGCGACTCCCTCCGCAGATCAAGAGGGTCTGTCAAGTTCAGTTCTTTGCCTGGATTGGCTTTTTCCCCTTGCTCTTTTACACGTCCTCTTACATCGGCGAGATATACGTCGAGCCGTATCTTCGGGAGAATCCTAATATGTCGCCCGAGGAACTCGACGAGCTTTATGAGCAGGCAACCCGAGTGGGCACCTTTGCCCTGCTCGTGAACTCGGTGGTCAGTTTGCTCACAAACGTTTTCCTTCCGTTTTTTATTGCGCCAACCTACGATAGTCATCCGGTATTGATGGCGAGCACGGCCGAATCGGATACCATTTCCACGCATAAGCAGCGTGGCTGGTGGTCGTGGCTGGACCGGCTTCACATCCCTGGCTTCACGCTCAAGCGAGCTTGGTTCGGATCGCTTGTGCTCTTCGCCGTATCCATGTTCTGTACCGTGCTGGTACGGACGGTAGAAGCAGCGACGGCCCTGATAGGTCTGACGGGTATCACCTGGGCGATGACGCTGTGGGCGCCTTGGGCTATCATTAGCGCCGAGATCAGCCGAAGACACGCCGTTTTGCGCGCAATCAAGCAAAGAAACCAGAGTCTAGACCTGGCTACAGCTAGGTCTGGGGATACTTGTCGAGACGGCGAACAGGACTCAATACAGCAGAACGACGACGGCGAGACGGATCAAGCAGGTGTGGTACTGGGGATCCACAACATGGCTATTGCCGCACCACAGATGATTGCCACCATCGGGTCGAGTATCATCTTCCGCATTTGGCAGAAGCCCCGCGGCACACCAGGAGACCGCTCGATGTCTGTCGTCCTGGCGCTGGGCGGTATTGCCGTCTTCGTCTCGTCTTTCTTCGTGGCTTGTATCCACGAGACCACATCCGGGGCAGGGGACTGCGTGGCGGCGGCAGAAGAGGGGGAGGGAGAGCCCATCCTATCGAGGACGGGCCCCAACCGACAAGAAAGCCATCGACATGGACCAGAGGTCAGCTTACAACGTGCCACGTTAACAAGGAACAAAAGTTTCGGGGGAATGGAATACTAAGAAGGGCACCGCCACACAAGGGTTTGGTCCGCCTTGTGGAGAGATGTCGACGTCGAGTTCCGGGATTGTATAATTGGGGCGGGCGCTCTCTTTCCTTCCTTTCTCCCTTCCTTTTTATTGGGAGTCAACTATGACTCTAAGGGACACGATTATCGCCATGCATCCGGGTGTTACGATAGTCCTGTAAGACTACAATGTCGGATATACCAAGGTGTTCAGCGCAGTCTCGATGATCAGATTCTTGACGATGACAAGACCAACTTGGCAGAAAAATGAATAGAGCCCTCCTGAGTTCTGATGGACTGGAGTAGAAGACCCTCCCCGCATACATTAGTAAAGACCCTGAAGGGCGGCGAAAGACGCTATCAATTTCCCAATAGTGAACCGGCAGTACATGGCATTTTCTGGCGTGCCTTAGCACGAACACCGAGGCCCGTGACGTGTGTGAAGTAGGCTACACGGTGTCTAGGAAGGTCGGGTAGAATTGTGGCTACGCTCTCATAGTACCTAGGAAGGTGCATACCTTGGCCTTTTCTCCCGTTGAAGAGAATGCTACTTGTAAGTCATAAAGTGAGAAGATGGTACAGTATCTCGTGAGATTCGACGGCGATACTAGCGGCGTTGTGAAGGTTGCATGGCGCATGTGTGGGCTAGAGCAGGCGAGCCAGCGTACCTTACCTAAGGTACCTACCTAAGGTAAGGTAAAGTACGTATTGCATTCCCTGGGGTATTACGTGACATATATGAGCAGGAGGACCTACTCCGTACAGTACCTAGACCATAAGGGTGCATGGCTGGCTTTTCAAAGTTGATTCACCCATGTTAAACAGCCACGATGCCATGAGTTATGTATTCTTGCCCACCAGGTTGATGATATTCGTTTTCTTAATATCTTCTCCCTCTCTTTTCTTGTTTCCTTTCGTGATGGGAATCCAACAGCAAAGAACAAGCAGATACTGGCTCTAGGTGGGAGTGAAAAGACCTTGAAGTGCGTCTACTAGAGGAATTCTCCTCGGTCAGGGGCATGAAAGGGAGCGTGCTACCTACCTTACCTTACCTACCTTAGGTACCTTAGGTGCAGGTAGACAGACGCCAGCCAACCCATATTATCCGTATTCACGAGGCTTGAGTGCTGTTCATGTGGTCAATACGGGGTAGGAAGAGCAAGGTACCTCACCTTCATGTCCCAAAAGTTTATACTTCCTAAAGGCGCGCCTGTACTTCTACCTTAGTTGACTGTGGCTGGGGCAGAAAAGTGACTTCAACTTAGATTCACGATACCTGGTAGTATCAGAACAACGGAACCCTCCTAACCCCCCAGCCATGGCCATGTCCCTGCACATGTCCCTGCACATGGGACTGATTACCTAGGTCGTAACTGACGCCTCGCTGATCGAAGCGCGGGGTACGACGGAATAGAAGTAACGACCGAGATAAAAGCTTTCCCTTTCATACCTTATATGTGGCTTTTCCCGTCGGTTTGAACCCTTCTCTCTCCTTTCTCTTCTCCCAAAACATATTTCGCCGTCCAGCTCTTCCGCCTACCCGTCCATCTCGAGTTTCGGATCGAGTGCTAGATCATCCATTAGCTCTCTGAACGTATCTTCTATTTCAGTCGACCTTGAACTGTAGTACGTACCAACTACTAGATTACCCCTGACCACCTTGCCCTTGCGTCAGCAAAGAGAAGAAGATAAAAGTCTCATCGTTCTACAGCCATCTTACGGGAGTCTCTCCGAACATTCCCTTTCTCGAACGGACCGAGGACAGAGACCGAACATGTCGGCAGCCCGAGATGACAATGTTGGTCCGGCGAGACAAGAAAACTCGGTGGATTCAGTATCGCCCACAAGTACAGCCCACGACACACCACAAGACGGTGGCCACATGAGGTGCCCGGAAGATGATGTCCCCAACTACATCGCCCGCGACAGGGACGCCTTGCAAGCGTTCCTTCTCGAGAAGGACCCCACGGTCAGCATTTGGCGAGTCGTCCGCTTCTGGAAGGCGGCAGTTTTCTACTCCCTCGTCTTCTCTGTGACCATCATAGGAGAGGGCTACGACCTAGCCCTCATGGGCAACTTTTTCTCGCTTCGCCAGTTCCAATCTCTCTTTGGAGTTGAGCCAGCCCCGGGCAAGGCTCCAGAGATCCCTGCCCTCTGGCAGTCGTTGATCCAGTGTGCCGCCCTCCTCGGCCAAGTCTGTGCCATATACCTGACCGGTCACTGTGTCGACCGCTTCGGCTATCGCAGGACCGTCTTGATCGCCCTTGGCTCGGTCCTCGTATTCCTCTTCGTCCCCTTTTTCTCCACCCAGGCCATCGGCACTGCTGGTTCCAACGGCGGTCTCGGTGTCCTTCTTGCTGGCGAGTTTCTCCTCGGCATGCCCTGGGGTGTTTTCCAGGCTACCACCCTTCCCTACGCCTCCGAGGTCGCCCCAGTCAAGCTCCGTCCCACCTTGACCACGTTCGTCAACATGTGCTGGATCTTGGGCCAGCTTCTGGCCACCGGGGCCACCAAGGCCGTCACCCGTCTTGACAACTTCGCCGCCTTTCGGATCCCCGTGGCTGTCCAGTGGACGTGGCCTGTGCCTGTCGCCTTGTTCGTCTACCTCGCACCCGAGTCGCCTTGGTGGTTTGTCCGGCACGGTCGGTCCAGAGAGGCCCTCGAGTCCATCCGTCGACTCAACAACGACAGGGATTTCCCCGCCGAGGGCCAACTCCGCATCCTAGAATTGACCAACGCCCACGAGCGAGACGCGGACAGGACTGTGGAAGACGGAGACAACCCAGGCCAGCCCGGCAGGGAACGATCCAACGCTCCTCCAGGCTCGGAAAAGAACCTAGCTGTTGGGGGCAGCAGTCACGAAGAAGAAGGCGGTGGGCAAGACGAAAGCAGAGCCCGAGACGAGAGCTGCGGTCAATACCTCGACTGTTTCAAGGCTACTAACCGTCGCCGCACCGAGGTCGTGGTCATGCTAAACCTGACACAGCAACTCTGCGGTTCCTGTCTCATGTACTACTCGGCCAAGCTCTACCAAAAAGGCGGCATCAAACCCGAGAACGCCTTTGACTACACCCTCGTCCAGTACGGCCTCGGCATCGTCGCCATCAGTTTCTCCTGGCTCCTGATGCGTTACTTCGGACGGCGTCGCATCTGGATCTCCGGTCTTACACTCTCGACCATCCTCCTAAGCGGCGTGGGCTTTCTCGGTTTCTTCATCGGCCACCACCCGGCCATACCATGGGCCATCGCCGCCCTTCTTATCTTTTTCACCGCCGTCTACAACCTGTCCATCGGGCCCCTCACCTACTCCCTAGTCAGTGAGATGCCGTCCACCAGGCTCAAGGCCAAGACCATCGTCATCGGACGCTGCTCCTATCTCATCGCTGGCCTCTTCAATCTCTTCCTCACCCCGAAGATGCTAGAGGACATCCCCAATGGGTGGGGTCTCGGTCCCCGTGCCGCCCTCGTCTTCGCCGGCCTCAACATGGTCTTCTTGACCTGGGCTTGGTTCCGGCTTCCCGAGACGAAGGGCCGCAGCTTTGCCGAGATTGATGAGTTGTTCCAGCGTAAGACGCTGGCGAGAAGGTTTAAAACCACCATACTGTCAGAGCCGGAACCAGAACCAAGATCAAGACCTGCGTCAGGATCGTAATCGGTGCCGGGGTTGGAGGCCGACAGGGCTACTGCTGCAATTATGTACTGGCAACTGTCCGTTGGTTTGATATTGCACGAATTACATTTTGGGTTGCCTGTTCTCCCAGTGGGATTCCACGGATCAGCGTTCGATATCAATACAGCTGTAGCATTTGGATGGACGGCTCGCCTTGGTGTTCCACCTGCTGGTGCGTGCCGTCTCAATAAGCCATACACACCACTGTGATTTGTCTTGGCGAAAACGACGAACCTTGGCTTCCCGTTCTTGCCTCACCACGGGTCATCCTTAATACCGATAAACGCTTGATGTCAATATGGTTCCCGTGATATGTCTCCTCCGTGATATAACCGAGCGTGGCGAAGAAGATGTTTGCATTTCTGAACACCAGCCCTCTCTTCGTCCGTTCCGTCGGTGAGAGTCGAAGCTGCCCATGCTCAGTAGCGCCTAGAGTCACCGTTTCGATACCCTCGGTCCCCATCCCTCTCTCTGTCCCGACGGTTATCCCTCTCGCGATCGCGGTCTCTATACCTATCCCTATCCCCATCCCTCTCCCTCTCCTCCCTGTACCCTTCCCCCCTCCTCTCCCTCCTCTCCGCCTTCCTCTTCTCCTCCTCCCGCCGATAGTCATGTAACCGGGGCGGCCGCTTCGAACCCCCCCGGCCCTTCCCCCGCCCGCCGGAGCCGCCGCCGTGATTCCACTGCCCCAGGTCCTCATCCTCCTTGAGCCGTTTGGCCCCCAATCCGAGGAGGTTCTGCCGCCGCTCGCCCGTCGCGCGGGGCCGCGGGCCGCGCAGCTTGCCGTCCCAGCCCATACCGCGCAGCAGCGCGGCGCCGAACTCGCCGTCCGGGATGGCGTCGTAGTCGTTGAGGGTCGAGTCGGCGCCGACGTGCCGCTGCACGTCCTCCTGGTAGGCCTCGTCTTCCGTGGCGGGGCGGATGACGCGCTCGGCGTCTGGGTTCTTCCCGCGACGGCCGAGAAGGGCGTCCATCGCTTCGTCGTCGGCGGTGGTTCCTGGGGGGGGGGTTTTGTCTCGCGGGGCGTCGTCTTCGCCTTCTTTGCTGTTGGTTCTTTCGTTGTCGCCGTCGTCCCCTGGCGAGCGGGAAGATGATTGGCGTCTGTCCCTTTCGTCGCCATCGCCTTCTTCGTCGGATGGTTGCTCCGTCTTGCGCTTTTTCACGGCGAGGCCCCATTGGATCTCCTCATCCCCGACCCCGTCCGCGGGCGCCGTTTCTTTCGGATCCTCCCTTCCCTTTTGTTTTCGTGCCTGCACTTCGGGAGGGAGGAGGTTCTTCTTCCCGCCGCCGCCTCGCTTGGCGCGTAGTTCGTCCTTCCAGTTGCGGTTGGGCTGGCTTTCGATCACGAGCTCCCTGGGGCGCTTTTTCGGGGCTTCCTCGCCCCCGAGTTCTGTGATGGCCTCGTGCCGCCCGCGGCGGTCGGGGTCGGAGTCGGAATCGGAGTCGTCGCTGTGGGAGTCATGGCCAAGTGCGTGTGGGCGGGCTCGCTTGCCAAGGCGTGAGGGTGGCGGTTTTGGCTTTGACTGGTCTCTGGCGGAGTTGGAGGATTTGGGGGTTCCAAAGGATATGGCTATCCTGGGCGCTGAAGAGGGATTCGGGTTCGACATGGTGGATGGCGCCCTTGTGCAGAGGGGAGGAGTTTGTGGTTGTGAGAAAGGAGATGTGAAGTCTAGGGGTGGGTCTGGAGCCTCGATGTTGGACAAGGTCGCCAAAATATTTAGCTGACCGAGCCACATGGGGTACGTCACTCGAAGAGGCTAGCGGAAATTATGTAATACATAGCACAGCCACACTAAATGAAATTGCGTGAAGTACCCAGGTACTAAAGGTCGAGCGCCGATTTCGGAGGACGAAAAAAAAAGGGCATTTCATGTTGTGTTGATAAAGGTACATGTATCCGTACAAAGCGCCGCATAAGGTAGCCTATTCATGATTGTCTCTCATATTAACCCTCTCTATTCAGTTCCGGGCGCGTCCTTTTTCCTTATGCTTGCTTCTTCTCTACTCTGACGAAGGAGACGCTTTTGTTTTTTTAATGCTCAAAGTGCACTATATGCCGTCGTCTAAAAGGCAAAGACTTGGTCCTCCAGCTTACTGACGGGACGGGCCTTCTGGAAGCCGAGGGCCTGGGTGGTCTTCTTGAGCGCGCTCACCATGGGAGGAGGACCGCAGAGGAGAATCTTGACGTCGTCGGCAGGCTTGGGGAGCCATTTCTACAGACTTGTCAGTAAACGGGGTTCGGTTTTGCGAAGAAACGGATTACGGGAGAAAAACGGGGGCAATCCCCCCACGCCGGTGCATCTATCTTACCGTGATCATGTCGGGGGTGACGTAGCCAACACCGCCAGTCCAGCCCTCGGGAGGGTTGTCGAGCACGTAGTGGACACGGATGCCGCTGTCCTCCTTGACGAGGGCGTCGAGGTCCTCCTTCAAGAGAATATCCTGGGACGTGACGTTGGCGAAGATGAGGTCGACCTGGGTCTTGTCGCCGGCGGCACGGCCGCGGATGATGGCGCGGATGACCTGGAGCATGGGCGTGATGCCGGTGCCTCCGGCGATCATGCCGAAGTGGCGGACCATGTTCGGGGTGTAGACGAAGGCGCCCTTGGGGCCCTTTACGCGAATGGTCTCGCCCACCTTGAGGGAGGCCATGTACTTGGAGATATTGCCGGTGGGGTAGGACTTGATGAGGAGGTCGAAGTAGCCCGGCTGGTGGTCACCCGAGATGGGGGTGTACGACCGCACAATCTCCTTCGGGGTGCCGTCAGGTTGCGCCAGAGTCGCGCCAATGGAGATGTGCTGGCCGATGGGGAGGCCGAGGATGGAAGAGGGGGAAGGGAGGGAGAATCGGTAGCTATAGGAGTCATAGCGGGAGAGTCAGCCCCATGGTCAGATACAGACGGCTAGCAGGATCAGGGGCTTGGGCCGATTGTAGACTTCAGGAAAGCAGGGCTGAGGAGACACGTACATGGCTACATTGTGGGAGATGACCGTCTTCTCCTTGAGCTCGAAGTCCTGGAATGAGTCGGGCTTGAGGACCTTCTTCGGTTCTATCGATTGGTTGGCGCGTTAGGTTACGCGAGCATCTTGGGGAGGAGAGGGGAGCAAAGGGCAGAGAGGAGGGGGAAAGCCTGCGCATAGGTGGATGACCACGTACGAAGGCTGTGGAACTTCCAGGCGCCGAGCGCGAGGGCGATGCTCACGCTGTAGACAATCCAGCGACGGTCCACGATGAGAGAGCCGACGATGATGAGTCCTACGGGGATGTAGACATTGTCGAAGTATTTCCTGGAGAGGATGGATTCGGACATGGTGCCAGCAGACTTGCGATGGACGCCCTGGTTATGTGCGTGCTTTCTTCGTTATTAAGTGAGTTCTCGGTTCTCGACTCCCAGTTTGTTGTCTGTCACCCGAAGAAGTCACAAAGCTTGGCTTTTTTTCTTCTTCTTCCTTTGGACGGAGGTAAAGCGTCAACTAAGGGATATATTCAGGGTTGTGACTGGGGTGCGGGCCCAAAAAAAAAAAAGGTTGAGAATCGTCCGATAACAAGCGAAATATGATTACGGTAGCGGCTTGGACGAGTCAGGGTCGTGGAAATTCTGCCAGTCCGTTGCCGGGCGGTGAGACTTGCAACAGTCTGGGGAAGCCAATTTTGGACAATTCGGCGTCGGGACGTTTCGGGAGATCGGCCACTTCGACAATAGGAAAGGAAGAAAAAAAGGTTCAAAAAATTAGCCGGCATCCCTCATCGGGATTGACCACTTCGAGTAAAGGCTTTGACTAGCTTATGAGAAAACGATGGAGTTGCTAAACTTGGTACCAGCGACACCAGCAGGCGCTCTGCGTTGAGCATCGACATACAAATGCTTCGTAATTGCAAGCATTACCTGTTCCCCAGCTCGTCGCTCCACGGAGTACGAGCAACGAATAGTGAGTAATGGAAGAAGTGGTGGGCATCTTGCTGTCTTTTGATTAATTACCTATCCTCCGTCCATCAGATAATCCCCTAGACGAGGAGGGGAGTAAACTCGAGCGAAAATGGACCGAGGATTAAACATTGAAACTTTGTCGGCTTAACTTCAACCGAAGTTGTGGTTCGTTCTTTTAAGAAGACTGCTTTCCCAGGAATGGTGACATCACTGCTATATGTCTCGTTGATAAGGGCCTTCCAACTTCGAGTTAAAACGTCTCGCCAAGAATCTCCGGAACCGCAGTTGCGCGCATTGGGGCCAAGAGCAGTTGTCTCTCTAACTACCTTATTATGCTCTCTCTTCACTGGCAAGTAGTCGTCTCTCTTTCTCCTTGCCCAGCCTGTTCAGTTCTGTGTTTTGGCAGGTTTAGCCTATGTACGTACGGGTATCTAGCGGAACGAAGACACTGATTCGTTCCACCACGTTCCCTAGGATACTCCGGGTTCTAATAACTTCGCTCATCTTCCAACTTGAATATCTCTACCCGTGCCACGCCCCATATGCTATAGGATTACATATGCGTGGCAGTATTTATGGCTCCTTAGATTGATGACTTTCTTGAAATCTCAACTCAGTTTCTCCTAGAGGTCTAAAGCCTGTCCCTTTCCGTCTCGGTGCTAGAATAAAGTACAGGTATTATTCGAGGACAGGGATACTCACTCGCTAGAGCTATCAGCTTCGCAAATTACAGTGTAATTCCCAAAGGACATTGCATAAATATATTCGATAGAGAGGTGTATTATTCTTAATGTATTCTAGTAAATGTCCAGACAGCGTTGTGTTAAATCCTTGTGATTTATCCTGCGCCGTAGACAAGAAGCCAAGGGGATCTGCTGCTGCCCCTCCCAGAACTGCACTAGGTCAACCAGTCCGATCCTCTCGTTAGGATCGCGCTCTAGGCAGCGCATCACGACAGCTTTCCAGCAATCCGGTATGTCATCAGCATCCTCGCTCCAGTTAACCGTAATCCCTTCTGGGTCGAGATCTTCGACATCCTCCTGCGGCACTTCTTGTAGCAGCATCCACATGGTCCGGCCCAGACTGAACACCTCTGCCGCCTCACAAGCCTTCGGCCACCGCTTGCTCCAATCCGGAAAAACGTTCCATAATGGCCGACCTCTGGGAAGGTTCACCCGCACCGGTCCTTGATATTGCGTATATACCAGCTTCGACGGAGTACCTAGTCCGCCCACCTCGTCCACATCCCATTCGCCGTTTGCTTCTGGTGCGAGTGTATATAGGGGCGCCCCGCTCTGCTCCCAGTCGATCAGAATCGTATTTCCCTGGTCGTCTACGAGGATGTTTGCTGGCTTGATGTCCATGTGGTATGTGTGCGCCGTATGGTGCGTGTGCGCGACGGCCGAAGATATCTGTAGGCACCAGCGCGCCTTATCTCGCAAACTGAGGCGCATTCCGTCCTTCTTGCATCTTGTGACCTGATCGTCTAGAGTGCCCCGCGCCATGAAAGGATAGAGAGTGCCACACACGAGGGCTTTGCCTTCGTCTCCGGACAATCCGGCCACGGCGATGATCGGTGGAGGAGATAAGATGTTGGGATGCGGTGGCATCGAGGAGAGGATCTGGATCGCGCGATAGAAGACATCCCGGTCGTGCGTGAACTCGTCCGGGGACGTCAGAAAGTCTCCGAAATCGACGCCTTTCAAGACGTATAGCGACTTGGACATGGCCGTTGAGACTCGGCGCACGACAGCTGACGTCCCTCTCCCTGGCAGGCGGTAGACCATGACGAGGTCTCGATGGTCGACGTACTTGTAGCTGGCATCTTTCATAAGCACGGAGTCGGCCGGCGAGAGCGCTTCTAAATATTGCTGATAGAGCGCAGGCTCATATCGTATGACCCAGTCGATCCGCCCCTCCGCATCGCCGTCGAGGTCAATGACCGCGTCCGGTGCCGCAGCCGCATATACGCAGTTCGGCCAAGCCTGGCGGGCCGCATCGCCGAGCGCCGTGCGCATCGCGGCGCGCTCTGAAAATGTCTCGCTGCTGGACATGACGGGGAGTTCGTGAAAGCACGCCACAATACGGCTCGCGAGGCTCTGAGGCCGCGCTCTATCCCTGGAGGCTCGAAAGGTAAGTGCAGCTCCTTTCCCGTCGTGCGCATAAGCGAATGTCTGGGTTTCATCGTCATTACCCCATATGTGGTCGATCTGAACGTCATGGACTGCCATGTTCAGAGGATCGGGGGGCTGAGTGACCGGCCAGGGGAGAGAATACTTAACCTTATTAATAAGAAGGTATAACGCCTACGAATAAGGCTTTGGCACGTCGATATTTATAACTAGTAGGCGCGCCAGTTAGTATAGAAAGGCCTTTTTAAGGTTATATACGTTAACACGAAGGATATAATCGCGGACGGTTTAATGAAGGCACTACCGGAGGCAGAGGTTAAAAGACTATAGTAATAGCTTAATTTAACAGATTAAAAGGATCGTATCGAGTAGTTAAAATAACTGTACGAAGAGATCGAATATACTAAAGCCGTAGCGACGATAAAGGCCCCCGAGGGCGTAGCAGATCCGATAGATATAGACCCGATTAAGTAGATCCGGCTAATTAGGATCGAGGAATTAATTAAGATAGATTTAAATTAAACGGTTAAATAGGGCAGATTTAGATCTCTTTTACGAGGGCGTTTTCTCTTAACTATTAATTTTACGATAGAAAAGTTAAGAGCTTTTAGTTTAAACCGAAGCCTCTAATTAGTTAGTTAACCAGGAGAAGACCCACCTTATATAAGGGGGTATATTATATAGGTATACTATTAAGAAGGAGATTTAGATCTACCCCGAAGGGATAAGGACTAAAGAATAATAAGGAGTAATAGATAAGGATCGTAGTCTTATATAAGGGGAGGCTAATTATAGGTTAACTGGTGGTTAATAGAAAGAGTATCTTAAAGGTAGGTAGTAGTATAGAGGAGAGATAATCGCTAACCCCTTCCTTCCGGAATAGTCTAGCTCTCCGTCTTATATAATAAATATCCACTTATTAGTTAGCCGGTAGTCTACTACTATATCCTAGTATTACGACGGCTTCCGGTCCTCTATAGTATAGCGGACGATAGGGGACTAGCGTCGGGGTTTTAGTTTAAAATAAGAAGAGGATATTAACTAAAGAGCAGTAACTATTATTCGTAGTGTCTAGTCGTAGTTACGTCGTAAAGACTAGGCGTCTTCTTTATAAGGTAGAGTCGAGCGTAGACTAATAGTCTAGGTGAAGACTTAGATTAATCGATATCTTATTCTCTAGTAGAAGCAAGACCTAGGATACTCTGGTTTATATAGTGATAGCGCCTCCTTACCCGTAGTGACTATTCCTTGCGTGGTCGCTATACCTAGGTGATTCTATCATAACCGATCACTTATTAGTTACTTCGTCGGAGTGATCGACCCTAGTCCGTCCCGGACGGTATACTAAGTACCTCCGTACCTGGTAACACGTGACTTAGTATATAACTCCTCGAGTTACCCTATACTACCCCCCGTCTAGGGCTATCCCGTAGGATATACGCTAGTATACCTATAGGGTTAGTCTATATTAGGCGGCCGACTATAATATTACCTTCCTCCTTCTAAGCGCTATCCTAGCGGTCGTATAAGTAGGTCGCTTTTCCCTTGTTAGTATTCCTTAGGTTTTTCTTCTTCTTTATTACTAACTATTATATCCGACTATATCTAGAAGTCATCTCGTCCTAAATCTTGTTCCGCCGAAAACCGATCGACCGTTTCCGCCCTTATCGCTGATTAAGGCTACGAGGTCGTCCCCTGCACCCGTTATGCCTCTAAGAACGTACCGTGCTTCGTTCTAGACGATATCGCTCGCTATCACGCGTGTTTCCGCTTAGGTCCTTCTTATGATAGTGCTAGAATCCTAATATCTTCCGGTACGCTCCTGCCCTCGCTTTCCTGCTTAGTCTCCATTTACTTACCCCCTCGTTTTCCTAGCGGGTCGTATAAACGAAGAGCTAAAGCGCCTCGAATAAGAGGAGGAGCGGACCGAGGAAATACTCCACGAGGCGCTCGCCCGCTTATCCCGCCTTCGCCGAACTCGTCGCCTGCTACGGAAGAAAGGGGTGGAAATAGTTCGTAAGGACCTTACTAATATAGAGGAGCTTAAAAAGGTGGAGAAGGGGGAAGAAGAGGCCTGTTAGACCGAGTCAGAGGCGGTGGCTACTATATAAGCTGCCGGTGCTATTAATATAATTAATTAGAATTAGGTAATAGCGTAGGATATAGGTGAATTCTCGGATATTAATTTTATATAGACCACGGCGTCTAGTTCTAGGTCCTGATAGTGTTCTATCGGTACTGCTTTAGGAGTTACTTATAATTGATTAGGTTATCTTTCGGTTCCTATATATTATCGCCATAATCGTAGTTTTTCTATTTTATAAAATATTCGGTGCCGTCTAGCGTCTCTTAGTAGTCGAGGATTCGTTCTGCTTTATATATATCGCTAGTATCGACCATAATTATATCTTATATTATTTTTATATCTTTTAGTGCTAGTTTAAGTAGTGAAATATAGAAATTATTATATATCCTTATTATCGGAGGTAGTAATAGAATATAGTTCGTATCTAACTTTTTCTCTAGGATTTTAAATAGTCCTAATTTTTTAAAATCTAATTTATCGCTTAGTCGTTATATTTTAATATTTTTACGAATAAGGTAAACGCGGTCCCCCCTTAAAAGGGTTAGTCCCTTAATCCTTAATTAATTCGCGTATCTGCTTATTCATATTCTAACTATCTCTAGGTCGGTTCGTAGTTCTTCGTATAGTTTTTTTATACTTTTAACTATTTTTATCGCTCTTAGTGCGTCTAGTCCTTCTAAAGGTTTTCTAAATACTATCGGGGTATATCCGTAATTTACTTTAAACGGTATTTTCTTTATTAACTCGTTTAACGAGCTATTATATATAAACTATATAAGTAGCAGGTATTATACCTAATTATCCTATTCGTACCCTATATAGTATCGTAAGTACTATTCTAGGACTTAGTTTATAATTTCGGTTTATCCGTCTATTATAGGGTAAAACGCTATCGAATACTTATATTTTATTCCTAGCTAGCTTATAACTGCTTTCTAGAAGTTACTAGTAAAGAGCTTATCTCTATCCGTGATGATTTTATTCGGTACGCCGTGATCCCTGATTAGTCGGTTAATAAAGATACTTACTAGTTCTTCTACTATAGTGTTTTTAATATATAGAATATAAAGAGTATATTTCGTGAATCGGTCGATAATCACGAATATACTATTATAGGCGGTTCCTGTTACTAGATCTTTGGATACTGGAAATCCTGTCACGAAGTCTATTATAATCGATTTCTATAGTCTATCTGCTACTAGTAGTGGTTTTAGTAGTCCGTAAGGTTTATATCGGCTGCTCTTTGCTTTCTAGTAAATATCGTAGTTTCGAACGAAGTCCCTAACTCGTTCTTTAGTTCCTGTATAGCCGTATTATTATCGTAATCGGTGGTATATTTTATGAATTCCTTGATATCTATGTATCGGCGAGACGTGTACTTCTTTAAATATGATATCGGTTATTCGATTAATATTATTTACCTCTCTATTCTTCAGGGTAAGAGCTTCTCCTTCCTATTAGAGTATAGCTTACGGTTTAGGTGATTCGTTAGGTGTCCCTAGTCGGCTAAGTGCGTCTACGCGACTATTTTCGCTCCCTTTTATATACTGAATATGGAAATTGAATTCGGCTAGGAATTCTGCCTATCGGATCTATCGTTTATTAAGAACCTTAGTAGTGGTGAATTACACGAGGTTCTTATAATCCGTGTAGACTTATACCGGGTATCTTATCCCTGATAGATATAGTCTTTATTCTTTAAAGGCTTCGATAATAGCTATTAGCTCTTTATCGTGGATCTAATAGTTAAGTTCTGGTCCACTAAGTTTCTTAGATATAAAGGCTATAGGGTATAGTCTTCCTTCTATATCGCGCTATCCGAGTTATGCTCCTAGAGCCTAGTCGGATACGTCTGTTTCGAGTTCGTATTCTTTATCAGGGTTTAGTATTACTAAGATAGGTTCGCTAGTAACCCTTCCTTTAAGAGCTTAGAATACTTTTTCTATTCTTTCGTTCTATTCGAAGTCGAGTCCCTTTTTAGTTACTTTAGTTAAGGGGATAGTAATCTTACTATAGTCCTTAATAAATCGTCGATAGTAGTTTATAAGTCTAAGAAAGGACTAAATATCGCGAATATTCTAGGGGTATAGCCACTTAGAGACGTATTAGACTTTCGCCTTATCTATATAGATCTTATTAGGTTGTATTGTATAACCTAAAAAGTTAACTTCTTACGTATAGAATTAAACTTTTTCTGGTTTAACTAATAGGTCGGTGTCTTATAGGAGTTATAGGATCGTGTGAATATATTATCGGTGTTCTTCGAGTGTCTTAGAGAAGATTAGGATATTATCCAGGTATACTATAACGAAGTGGTCTAGGTGCTTCCTTAGGACGTCGTTAATAAGTGTTTAGAATGATGCCGGCGTATTTATTAGTCTAAAAGGCATAATAAGGTACTCGAAATATCCTCGTTTTATCCGAAATACTATCTTCTACTCTTCTCCTTCCTTAATCCTAATTAAGTTATAGGCTCCTTTTAAGTCGAGTGCCGTGAACTATTACGTTCTAACTAGCTAATCTCGTATTTCTAAGATAAGAGGTAGTGGGTAGCGGTTCTTAATAGTTATATCGTTAAGTTATCGATAATTAATATATAGTCGTAGTTTACCGTTTTTCTTTAGTATAAATAGGATCGGGTATCCTACTAGTGATTATAATACTCTAATATAGCCTTTTGCTAGTATCTCTTTAAGATATTCTTCTAAGGTATCTAATTCCTTTTAGTTTAGCCCGTAAATTAGGAAGAATTTTGGGTATATCCCTTCCTTTAGGGGTATCTCGTAATTATAGTGTCGGTGTTTCGGTAATCCGGTCTCTAGATTTTCGGCAAATAGCTTTCCGTATTTACGGTATTCTGGTAATACTTTAGCGAGTCTATCATAATCGCTTATTACTAGTCCTTTTTCTACTTAGACGATCTAGTAGATTCTTTTAATAATATTAGTTATATATTAGTGGTTATGCCGTTACTGCTATCTTAAAGTCTTTCGTACTTCCTTTATCTTAGTCCCTAACTTCTGGTGGCTATTTA